GAATTTAATTGACACTTATTTTATACTAACAATCTTTCCTTTAACTCATGTTGTGCAAAAATAATATTCATATTTCATATAGTTTATCCCTAGAAAGTTTTAGAAGGAATTATGTCATATATATATTTTCAAACTATAGATAATTAGAATCAAGTTGTAGACAACACATATGAAATAAATTAAACAAATTTTTTATTAAATTTTACTTGTGCTCCTTATGCAAATTCCAAAGTATATCTCAAATTTCTCATAAGAAATAATTTTGATTAACATATTAGCAAAATTAATAAACAAATTTTTTATTAAATTTTACTTGTGCTCCTTATGCAAATTCCAAAATATATCTCAAATTTCTCATAAGAAATAATTTTGATTAACATATTAGCAAAATTAAATCTAACGTCAATCTTGACTAACTCAATTTTTTTATAAAAAAAAATGTATGATAAATTCATACATGATGTCAATATTATTTATATAGCTATTTATCACTTGATTAACAGTAAGATGTCACTTACTTTGACTATCACAATAAAGATTTACAATCTTCTCTTGTTTTGTGTGTCATTTGGCTATTCATTAGTTTATTGACAGTAAGATGTAATGCATTCTGATTAAAACAATGAGGGTTAACAATCTTTTGTTGTCAATGTGTTTCATTTGACTCTTCATCACTTGATCAACAGTAAGAAGTAATGCACTCTAATTATCACAATGAACCTAGGCAATCTTCGTTTGTAAATATTTTTCATTAGGTTTTTTCACCATTTGATTAATAATAAAATGTAACATAATCTCATTATCACAAAAAATACTGATATTGTTCAGTTTAAATTCCATATCAATGATAAATCTATTAAAAAAAATAGTTCTTTTGGTTTATTCTATTCTTGTTATATATTCAGCTTATGTTGTGGATTGAATTACAGATTTTTGCAAAATAGATCTTCTATTGATCCAGTCATCATCAAGTATAAACACATACTAACTGGTAGATTTTTTTCCCAAATATTGACCATATTCAACTTCAATATATCATAGCAAGGATTTGAAATTGTATAAAAAAAATTATATTTTTTTTATCAAAATCAATTGAAAATTACTGAAAATCAATATCAAAAATCAATATCATTAATTATCAATACATATTCCTTGTATTTGATATGTATCTTCTTATCTTGTCATTAGCTAAAGCAATATCATATCTTGTGCATATCATCAATATGCATGAGATGCAAACAACTTTTTTACAGTAAATTGATGATTGATGACAACTTTCATTTCTCGATTGATTATGAAATTGCAGAAATATGATGCCATAGGAATTTATATTGCTTCAAATTTTGCCATGTTAAATTTGTCAATCATATGTTGCATCATATCTATCTTGATTCAACCATAATATATTCTTCTCCACACCCTTATGAATATTCATCCCTAATATACTCTTGTATATACACAAAGACTTAATTTTAAAAATAATACTTTACATTGGTTATTATATTTTTTGCCAAGATCAGGATGTCATCCACATAAAAATTAAATAATGAAATTCAATATTTCATTATTCATCAAATTGAAAATTTTATGTATACACATGGATCATACACACTTTCTAAAAATTCTTGTGATTTCATACACTTATCACATCATGCATTTTAATATCTAATAGCTTGTTTCAATTTATATAATGACTTTTTTTCTCAAAATCACTTGGTTGATATATGTAGATTTTCTTCTTCTAAGATCCATAGAAAAATGTTGCAAATATTTTTAGGGTTTAGGATCTTAGTCTCGTTTTTGTATCTTATCCATAACGAGACTAAGTACTACAGCAAATGCACATACTGGTCAGATTGTAACATACTTTGTTACAAGTGAAAAAACTTTGTTGTAGTTCATATTTTTGACTTATGTGAAATCTCTAGCCACGAACTTGGCTTTCAAAATATTTATCTCATATCTTTAGGATTGTCATTTGGCTTCTACATCCACAAACTAAAAATAAAATTTTGATTTTTTAAAGCTTCACTAGCTTCCAGGTCTTAATCCATTAACGATTGCATTACACAATTCATATTTAGAAATATTTCATTCAAACTTTCAATATTTCACTATTGTATTTTACTTCTATTAGCGATTGCATCAGTTAGAATATGTCATCAAATCATTAAATCAGTTTTCAACAACCATCAATAACATAATGTAATATTACCAATACTAAAGTTTTTTGAAGCATAAAGTCTAGAATAACCATTATGATAATTCAAATTAAAAGATCATTTTCAAATTTGAAGCATGACATCAAACATCTTAATATATTCAAATCACTGCAAACTGTTTATATAATAATCTTTAGAAATATCATGAAAAAGTAATTGATAAGGTATAAAACATATATTCATCAAGATTTTTTATTGTATGAGGGAGATACAAAATTTGCTCACACTAAGAGTTGTATTAGGCATGATTGAACACAAAATCTGAATTATGTTAGATTCAAATACTTTCACAATGAAACATGATGTGAATATCAATTATTGAACAAGCATACTACATGATGAAAAAAATATATTTGAACAGTTCAGTTGTAAAACGGACAAGAATAGAAACTTTGTGGTTGGGAATTTTTTTTCATTGCCATGTGACATTGATGACATTTTCCACTAGTGTATAGAGAGAATGTATATTCAGGGGATGAATTTGAATGACAAACAAATATTTATTATGTTTCTTGTATGAAGAAGCCCAGTTGTGATAGATCAAGGCTACAGTTGATATAAATGTCGTGGCGCACAATGAATAGACTGATTCAAAATGATGTATGATCAGACATGATTATATTAGCAGTAGGCTAAATTACGTAAATTGACTTACTTTAATTTCATCATAAAAGTTAATTTAGGCTAATTTAGAATATCGTTAACTTCTCACCAACAAAAAAACTCTTTCAAATATGACGCATGTCAAGACAACTTCGGATGAAGACCTATGATTCGGGAGTGCCAACATAATTTACTCTTTTGCAAGACAAAAAAATTTGTTTAGAGAAAAAAAACTGCATCTATATTCATGAACAATCTCATAAATTGCATTTAGCGCTATATTGAGGAGAGTTATAATATAAAACATCTTGATTGCTAGAAGTGCTGTTATTATTTCTTAAAAAAGTGCCCCATAAGAGGGCAAAGGAACTTAAAACTTCCAGTGATAAGTTCACGACGTGGCAAAAACATGCAGTTTTACACAAGGCAAAGTCCTTACATCTCAGATAATTGTGCTTCCAAGTATTTCATAACATTGTGCGTCCACATCGCATCATATTTGTTACAAACTAGTCTTTAGGAATTAAAATTCACCTGCAGAACTGTCACTTATTTGGATCACCTATGCATCTCAAACAACTCTCTTTATTTGAGTTCACAATAGGTTTGCGTTCTCCAAAGAAGTGAATTCCCCTTTGCACACAGTCTACAATTTTCTTTGGGACCAAAATCGTGGTTTTCCCGTTCAATTTGAATCACATCACTTGTTGTGACCTGCACTGAGTTCTAGCATCCTACTCATTCCATTTTGTGCAAGTGCACCTAGTATTTGCACAGTAAGAGGGCAAAAACCATTACCCAGTGGTGAACCTACCACTAGTCAAGCCAACTTCAAATATTTTTTAACAAGATTACCTTCTACTCAAAATCTAGCATATTTTTCAAGAATAGAGAGGTTGACTTTTGTGCTCTTCAAACACTAGAAATAGGCTTAAAATATTCTGGCAAAAAACCAAGGGTAGTGAATGAATACTAAAGTACAATGAAAATGGACAATATAAAGATGTAGTCTTGGTGTAGGTTTACGAAATCTTGGATATGATAATGGGGTGTGAATACCAAGAACACACCATGGTGTCTTTGACGAATTAGATGGGAAAGCATATATATTAGCATTAATTTAGTCACCAAAGGGAGATTACATTTAGGTGATTTAGGCACTGCGCCATACGGTTGCCTAAATTAACCATGACTGCATATGAGCAATTCTGAACATACGGAAATTTGCCTCAATCCCGATGGGTGTAGGGGACGTGTATGGGATAATTCCTACAGACTGAAGTTTCAGAAGAAGATTATTCGATACCTTGGGGGTTGTGGACCCCACAGTAGTGAGATAATGTAAGACACCAAGTAGGGAACCAGAAAAAGGATGGGAATACCCCGTAAGCCGTACAAAAGGATAAGGAATCCCCCGAGTGAGATATTTTACGGAGAATCTGTAGGAAATTGAGTCCCTGGCAGTTTAATACCCTCACTTTTGGAGGAAAGTTGCACTTGGAAAGCATGTGCTGAAGGCAATGCCCATGCCCATCTCAGAATGCATACTTTTTCATAGAAGATAGTTGGAGAGACTGTAAAGGTGGAACCATTTGTGACCTCGTCACGTGAATGAAAGCCCAAGACTGTGATTTTGGAGTAAATTCAGACAATAAAGGGAAACTCAATTCAGTGAGTGCAGAAGTGCAAAATTAAGCCCAATAATTGGAGCTTCTGAGTGGAATAATGGCCAAGATGGACAGATGTTATCTCCTTAGACGAGGGGAGATGGTTGAAGACATAGAGTGACGATTAAAAACGGCAATGAAAAGGAATGGCAAAATAGAGTGCCCAAGAGATCATCTCGTGTCCCAATCGGGCAGTTTGGCAAGGTATCCTACGATAAAATAAAACGAAAGCCACAGAAGCCACGAAGGCTCTCATTTCTCGAGACATTTTTAAGATATCGTGTCGTTCCAGATCACGGTTTTCGAAGTGTCCATCTTTTTCCTATTAGATCCCCAGAAAACGAGTAGTAGGGCTCCCATTGAGAACTCATATTGAGAAATGACCTATTTAAAAGAAAACCAAATAATGATGGCTAACGACTTAGCAGACTTGCTTTGTCGAAGAAGCAAGTGATATGTATTGACACTGAAGAAAAAGAATATGATCAAACTGTAAGATAGATATATCGCAACTTCTTCTTTATTTCGTTTCAGTTTCAAAGTGGTCAATTTCAAACCATTCGAACCCTCAACTGGATGTATACACTCAACATACTTGATAAGGGATGCTGACGAAGCAGTAGTCTCACTGAGCTCGGCACTTGTGGTCATGAATTACTACGATGAATTAGCTCTGAGACAAATATGTGCGACCATAAAGGTCTGAAACTGTCGAACAGAGGCTGAGAGGACAGTGGCTCGGTAGGATATACCCTAGATAGCGATTCAAGAAGACGTTTCAAAAGAGAAGCTTGCTTCTTTCTTCTCTCCTGCTTTCTACGCATCGACGTCGATGGATTGTGGATGTGGATCATGTAGTCCGCAAGTTGACCCTCATGCAGAGATATGCCAGCAACCGAATTATTTCTAACAAGGCGTAATTGCGGCCCTGGTTTCTGGAGTACATTGAAAAAAAACCACTGGGAACGTATAGCCCTTTGCTAGGGGTCCAATGTCAAGGTCACTTCACCCTTGAGCTGACGGATAACCCAGTCAAACTCTCTTGGAAAAGTTGAACAACACCTCATCAACTTGGATGCAAGCTAGGGGCTCTTCTATCTGCAGCCTGCTGTATAATCTTCCTCTTCTCGGCTCTGGTTGTTGCATCACATGTTGTACTTCTTCCGAGAGATTACTCAAAATCCACCAACACGCTGTAATTAGAAACATTTGCCTCGTGATCATGAGCACTTGCGCTCAGTGCGCAGCCTCTTTCAAAGCCTCAGACCGTGAGCCCTGCGTACACTGCAGATCCAATACAAGAAACAAAATTATGATAAGAAACAATGTGAGGTAGAGACGTACGCAAGATATATCCGTGTTGTGTACGAATTTTTTTCCTCATTGGCGATCCTCAAAGCAGTCCAATTTGAGTAAATTACGATTAGGAAAAAGACAATTGACCTAGTACTGAACTATATTATCCTTTTTGCTACATAAGTCCACCACACTGCTTGTAAGTGTCTCACATAAGAAGCAGTCACTGAAAACTTCTCAGCGAGAAGTGGGTTCAATTAACAACTGAAGGTCATACTCATCAGCCTTACAGGCAATCATATATTTGTCTAAAGGGATACAATCATGTATTGCCACAGACTCGATTGACAGGATGGAGGAGAGACAAAACGTCTTCCTACACTTTCTACAGAAGGTGAATAAATAAATAAATGAGCAATAAATAGAGGTATGCATATGGCCGTCGTATACCTGGACCAGCAGTTCTAACAAGTGGCGAAGATCCCTTGGAATCCAGGTGGGAAAACTAGGGACGATCGCGACACCGCTAGAGGGAGATCATTCTGTTACAGGTTTGAATATCCCCTTGGGAGCATCGTATAACCACCTGAAATACCAAGACGGTCGATCCAAACATTGCTTAGAGGACAGAGTTATTGTACTATACCTTTCATATTGAAATATATATATACAGAAGGACTTTGTATTGTATAATGTAATATGTCATATTTGAAAGCACCCCGTCGTCACATGTACCGCAGGATCCCTCAATGTAAACAGAACAGAATAATCGTGTCAATAAAAACCACGCACCTCGATAGGAAAACTGGTGGGTGAGCATCACGACTGCCTCCACGTTTTTGGAGCTCCTTCCGTCTTTCGAGTTCCATGCGGTACTTTTTTGGGGGCAATACAAAGCAAGGACCTTGTATGGATCCCACCAAATTATTGTCGCAATGATTTGACTCATAAACCTAGTAAATATTAACGACCAGATGTCAGTACATCTTTCGTCATCTAAAAAAAAAGTTTTGAATATTCACTAATGATAAAGAATCTTCCTATCAAGTCTATACTTTCATGAATCATATAATTGTACTCTTCAGCCTTCACTCCAAACCAAAGGCTGCTGCCTTTGGCCGAATCGTTCTCAAACCCAAGCATCAATATCTTAAGGGGCAAAAACCTCCAAAGGTGGATGAGCTGGTGATGGCTTCAGCTATTGACACCTAAAAGCTCCAAATTAACCTCGTTCATGGGAAGAATACATACTATAATAGAGACCCCCTTCACTATCACATAATCCTCGGCCCTCCTTCTGCCTCCCTCGTCTTTCCATCTACTACTTTTGCCCAGTATTTCACTGCTAGCAATGATCAGCCAGGGCGTATTTCTTTTTGTCAGGCTTTGACTGACAAATAAGTGCAGTTTTGTGTATATGTCACTATTTTCGTGTCATGTCTACTGACTCGCTTGGATGGATATTTGCTTAGAAACTAGTTTGACTGGAAAAGTTTTTAAAAATTCCAAAATCTTCACCTTGACTTTGCCCCCCAAAGTGTTTTGACAATAATACATAATTCTTTATCCGATAGAACCCGACAAATGGTTTCTTTCTCTCCCCGACATGCGCGTCAAACTTCACGGCCGGATAAATTACCTCGTCAGGCTCGGCTCTTCCTGGTCGACCCATAGCCAAAGGTATATCAGTTGGATAATAACACCAGCTTACCCTCACCCATTTGTGGCTGGTACTGAGGTCTTCCCACAGAACCTGCAAAATTATTTTTAAGATTAATAATCGTATACAGGACCAGCTCCAAAAACATGACGAAATATGGCCACCAGATGTCATGCATAGACCTTGCCTGCAAATAGGAATACCTCGTATCACATTGGCCAGAGATTTCACATGTTCAAGCTACTATACATTTGCCGGGCAAAAAATGAAGACTAACCTGAAGTCTGGCAATGTAAGGAGGTACATCTGGAGTCTCAGGGCGGAATAATGCACAGTCCGACAGATGATACGTGAGCCCTCCAACGCGACAGGATTTGTAGTAGGTTTTCCCTTCGGTAGTCCGTGTGCTTTCTCCAACCCACTCCATCAAAATTGGAATTTCTACTTGCTTTCCAGCCAGACTGGTTGAAATGTCTCCACTTCCTTGTTCAGAACTTCCACCTTGAGTACTCAAAATTTGTCCTACTTTCTCATCTGCATCTCCATTCTTCTCCTTGCTCTTCTGCCTACTAACTCCAGCTTCTTCTGAATCCTCTAGCATTGGTTTATTGTCAGCGGGTCCAGGCCTAGAAGTTAGCTTTAACTGAGAGCCAGAGGCAAGGCTTCCACTCATGTTATCTACCCCACCAATCGAGCTTGACGAATTACGAACAGGCTCAATTGTTCGTGGTGAGGGTTCATTCACCAGATGCACAATAAGCTGGGGAGACCCTCCATAGTTCCCCACGCTCCTATCGTCTTTCATCGTGTGGCCACCTGTCTCAACTTCGACTGTAAGCTTGCCTTGCATTTTCAAACTAGAACTTAAGCCATTTTGCTTGCCACTGGAACTTGCCCCTGCCTCTAATAATGGACTAGAAGAGCCATTGATAATAACTTCATCATTGTCTTCAGACTCATCATGAGGAGCCCATAACTTCACGCCATTGACAGAACCACGTCGATACAAGCCATATTTTTCCCGATAAGCACGCCCTCCACTTAGACACTCCGGGCAGTTCCAATCGCCTTTTAGAACACCCTTAATATGATTGTTCGGTTGTAAACACTTGACATGAAAAAGTTTATCACATGAGTCACACACCACAACAGTTGCAGTATCTTTTGCTACCAACTTGCATAACTGACAGGGAATAGGTGTGTTGATGTAATTGGGTTGAAGCGCTTGTAGGGTCTGAGGGGCATGAGGCATTTGCTCTTGTATAAACTGTTGCACAGCAAGGCACAGCTGCTTGTGAGTTACCTGAGCTTTCTGTAGCTCCGGGACCTGGCTCTGTATATATTCTAGATAATCAGAAGAGATAAGACTAGGAGCAGCAAAGTCTTTCTTCATTCTATTACGGACCTTGGGAGGCTTACCCAAGAGAGTTTTGGATAACTGCTGAGATGGGCTATTTTCAAGCACAGACTTCTCAGATATAGTATCTGACTGGGAGACATCACTAGCTTGTGCAGCAACCTGAGTACTAGGAGGTGCGACTGGTGGGGAAGAACTTGGAGGTTCCACAGACGGCGGTAACGCTTGTGTTGATAGACCTGCGTAGGGAGTAAAAATAAATGAAATCCAGAGAAGATGACACATGTCAGACCAAATTCGCACAGATCAAGTAGTAAAACTTCGCTTTCAGAATAATCCAACCCCTAGCACATATTATCCATGTCAGAAACCACAAATGCGAGTCAGACTTGCGACATGAGCATGAAAAGGATTCAGGTCGTTTATGAGATGACCGAGTTTGCACATCTGCATCGAGGCCTTTTGTGAACACTGAAGCAAACAGTTTGGCACAACAGACTCCTTCACGCTATGACATAGCACAAACTAAAGTATCTGAAGCTTAGCGATATTACAGTGCACGTTATGATGTAACGAGCGGAGATAGTAACAATTGGCTTTGAATCTTCACAAAATCTGGAAACTTTTCAACGTTTCAACAGAACGTAGTGAGTTAAGGCAACATCTATTAAAAGAAGCACTAGACCCAAAATCGATGGATTCAGCTGACCGAAACAATCCAACTGCGTGTAAGAGTAAGACTGTTCATATCGTGAATCGCTGCCCATGTTATAACTGGAAGCTAGAACTGGCGCAAAAGGCGTCACTGAATAGAGTTTAGAGCTTAGGTGACGAATGTCTGGCAGGCAACTAATCTCGAAAGTAAGATATATATCCGGACAGAAAGCCGCAATGACGGTGACAGCGGGGGGATCACAGGGATACAAGAGTGCTTTGATGGAACTAATCGTAGAAGGTACAAGTGTCAAGAAGATATTTGGGTCATCTCTAAACCAACTTTTCGCACTCAAGGCACAAACTTGGGTCAAGGTCAAGGTCAGAGTCAAAACAGGTGACCTGTCTTAAACAATTCTAAGCAAGAATCTCACATCACAAGCATACAATCGAGAATCGAGACATTCTGAAGGATTTTCAAGTCCCAAAGAGTTTTCACATACCTGGAGGCGTGGCCGGTGGAGGAAATGCATCAACAGATTGTACATCTTTGGTTGGACTAGTCACCACCACAGCGGCAGCTTTCAAGGCAGCCTGCTTGAAACACAAAACAGTCACTTTCAGATTAGGGCTGAAGATAAAATGGAAATCAAATGACAAAGAAATGGACCATGGACCAGTAAATGGCAAGTGCATCTAATATATATTTGTTTCGAGAGAAGGACAAAATGATCGACGGCACATAATGTGTTATAGGTAGACGCTGTAAAACCTGGTTACGCTCTTCCGCGTCAGCTGCTGCTCTTAGCGACTCTTCGGCTCTAAGCTTCGCAATCGCCTCGGCCTTCGCTAATGCTTCGGCTTCTGCGAAAGCCTTTGCCCTTGCTTGATCATCTCTCTTGGTCTGTGCCATCCTTTTATGATCCAAGTCGTAGAACATTGATTCTAAAGCCTCCTTAGAAACCAAAGCATTGGGAGCGACTTTGCTCACAAGAGCCGCAATATTCTGACATGCAGTGGCAGCAAGTTCTTTCTCAAAATCGGTAAAAGCTCTCCCAGCTCGCATTTGAGCCATGCCTGCAAGAACTATAACAATCTCTGCAGTGCTGCCTATAACTGCCTCCACTGTATTAGGTGCAGTGGACATGAAGTCGTTCTTTCTACTTCTCTTGACCGGCTTTTCTGTAAAAGCTGTATCCTCTGTCGCTCTTTTCTCTGTCTTCTCAGGCAGGTCATTTTTTCCCGCAGAGATCTCAGGCAAAGTGGATTGGGTTCCACTGGGCAGCGACCCTGCAATTATTGGCTCTTCCTGTTGGGACAGGATTTGCCCATTTGAAGGAGGCTCGACCACTTCCATTGGATCATCTTCTTCAGATAATTTCGTAGACACACAAGCGGAAGGTTCGGTTTCCATCTTATCTCCGCTTTCAACATCTTGTTCATGCTTAGAGGGGGCCAAATCACTTGTTTCAAAAAAAGGAGGTTGGCTCCCATCCCCATCTGGTACAACAAACTCGGGTGAACATTTCACGGGATCGAGGCCAGATTCTCCGGAAGATAGAGCAGATTTCGTTGACTGCGATGCACAAAAACTAAGAGTTGACTTGGGTTCAACAGCGGATGTATCGAACTGCAGCGAAGGATCAGAGTTTCCGACTAAGGGCAAATCACCGGCAGCAGGACACGATGAAGACTGGTCAAAACTGGGTTTCGAGACAGAAGCTGTGTCGCGTAGAATACCAGCACTGCTTTGAACAAGCACTGATGAAACTTTGTCATCCCCAGAGTTTGCCACAGAGATGGCATCCGAAGATAAAATCGATGGTTCCAATGTAGAAGATTTACTCAATGAAGAAGCCTCCGGTGCAGATACAGCTGGCAGAGACTCTACAGACAACGTCTCTTGCGGCGCCTGGTTTCCCTTGGAATCCGTGTCAGATTGTTCCATGATGTTTGACTTCCAATCACCAGACCCTCGCCCTCATAATCTGCAGGTGAATTAAAGAACGATGCTATGACGAAACAAACTCCGATTTTTCGAAGCATGCACGCTTTACCGTTTTTTCCTCCGTTTCGAAAGACAGAGCCTGTGTCGCCACCTAGCGATGATCATCACTTCCTTCGTAAAGCGGATTACCGTCTGACTCACCACAATCCAAATTCTTATAAAGATGAGCATTATGCTTACGACGACAGTTGTATCAAGACAAGACATAGACACCCAATAAGGCGTTGAATTTAAAAAGGAAAAATAGACTGTCAAGGATTTATGCAGGCACATTGTTGGAAACGTAATGTCCTCGCACTGTGATTGATTCTTTGCAAAAGACGATGCGTACTCACATAGTCCGCATATTCTTAAGATAATAACGTCCGAAACAGAGATAAGTTGCGCAGGACCAACCATGAATATAAAAAAATTAATCCATCGACCGTTCAACCAGTATCTGATAGAAGATGACGATGGGCGGTCGCGAAGTACATTTCAATCCCCAATAATACACGGAATGCAGAAAACATGAGAGTACACTGAAACGGCGAGACAAAGCACCCGAAAGCAAGGAGAAAACCTACGCTGGAGCGACCCAGAATCGAGGAGAGAGACGCACCAGAGAGCGAGATCGAGCAATTCGCCGCGGCAGTGAGAGAAAGAATTGCACGTCCCGTTCGACATGGGCGCCATCCTCACCGGCACCCGCACCCGCACCCGAGCGACATGATTGAATTCAAAAACGCCCCGAAGACGCGGCATGGAGCGGGCCAACTCGGTTCCGCCCGAAATCACGAGAACGCCATCTTCGTATGAGGCAGACCCGCAGCGATGCCCGTGTACCCTACACTGCATTCAGTGCAGACAGATCCCCGTCGGCCTCCCTCTTCCTCTTCCTTCGTTCTTTCTTTCTTTCTTGCTCTCAGTGCCGTTCACGCTCCCATTCTCGTCCAGTTTCCGACCCGATTTCCGACTTCCCGATGTCCAGTGAATGTGTCGACGAGGTACCGCCTTTCCCGACCAGTCCTAACTTGATGCTCGGACAGTCCGAGGGGAGGCACTATAATATGATTGTTCTGAATTTAATATTCTTGGATGATCCGATGGTGCCTTTAGTACCTCCTTCTTCTCACTCTGTCCATTGATTTTGGAATTGTGAATTTGCCTACGATTTTGGACACTGCTCCACTGCCGAATTCTCGAAGCGCACAGACCCAAACTCTCCGAGCGAGAATTCTAGGTCTTTGAGGCCATGAAGACCGGTCAAAGTATTATGAACCGCCTCCTAATTTAAAATTAGAAGTTGCACATGCTATGTTCGGGACTCATGTATTTTACATGAGTCATGTATGTAGGTATCTAGAGCTGTAATCAGGCAATTTACCTCTTTTTCAGACTACTGTACTGTGACCACCTAGGTATTAATGAAGCACACTGGGAAAGAGCGATATATGTACAGCACGGGAGTATTTTTTTACCTATCTTTCTTGCCTTTCGAGTTTCTTTTTGTATTGAAATTTGTACCTTTTTTGTGGTCTTATTGTAGCTAACTTTATTCCACGCGTCCTCTTTCCAAAATATATGTCTTTTTAAATGGATTAAATGACGATCCTCCGCCATAATAACTGATTGTTTCCTCTATGTCAGGAAGGAGGACAAATGCGAGTCCATTGTGACACAAAAAAAACTAGACGCAAATAACAAAATAGCCCAAAAGAAAGGAAATTTGCGATAAAAAAGGATTGAGGAAGGCGGCATATAACCAAAGTCTAAGGAAAACGAATAAGCTAAAAGAGATTTCTGCTTATCTAGACCCCCGCTAACATGCAAATCCCGTCAACACGGTTCAATTTTCGAATTCGAACGCGCTAAATAGAGGTACCCATAATACGGGCATATTTGATAATAGCCTATGGTATATTATGTACTGCATTGCGACCCGTGTCAAGTAACTGCGTGTACCGGTGAGTGCGCAATGGCAGAGACGAAGGATGCAAACACAGAACCTAAAAGCGGCACCAACATTAAGATTGCCGTCACCAACAGTCGGTAGGAATCAAATTCCCGGTTACCGAAAATCTGCGTCTCAAGCTTTCGGACGCGAAGGGCAGGAGGAAGGGTTCGAATGAAGCAATCGTTTTTCGCCTACAGAACAGAAGCTCTGTTTCTCGCGCGGGCTTCGGGTCGTCAATTGAACGAGCTCGAATCAATCGGGGTCGGCTTTGCTTTCAAAGTTTGAACAAGTGAGTCTCGTTTCGATTTCCGTCCGAGGGCTTTCGCGATGGCGAACATAAGCGAGGCTGATATTTTCGACGATGCCACGGACCAGCTCGCTGGAATGACCACTGACGACGTTCTTCGTCACAGTCGGCTGCTCGACAATGAAATCCGCGTTCTTAAGGTATGGGCTGCTGCTGAGACTCATGGCTCTTGTGCTTTCTTTTAGTTCGGAGGTTTGTTACATGCGATCGGATCATTTGTGGGTGTAGGGTTTGGTGGAAGGTTTTTTTTTTACCTTGAGTTGCGTGCCATTCGAAGCCTTCCGCTTGAGTGTTTTTCAACATTGATTAGTGCAGGCCTGAGTCTTGAACGCAAAATTGGACCAAATTGGGCGTTCAGGGCTGCTCTATTTTCTTAATGAAATGTTTTTGCCGGTTTACAGGAGGAACTCCAGCGACTGACGCTAGAGCACGAAGCCACTCGGGAGAAAATCAAAGAGAATCAAGAGAAGATAAAGCTCAACAAACAGTTGCCTTACCTGGTTGGGAACGTTGTTGAGGTACCGGGTTCTTCCCTATTGGGTTAATGCGAATCAACCTGCTAAATCCCTACTCATATTTTAGATCTCAGTCGCTCACTTGTGCCGAAGATTGCAGTTTAAATGTACATGTGTATGGAATATGACTGTTGGGTGTGCCATCTCGCTCAGATATTGGACGTCAGTCCCGAGGACGAAGCGGAGGAGGATGGAGCAAATGTAGATCTAGATTCTCAAAGAAAAGGGAAATGTGTCGTGTTGAAAACTTCAACCCGTCAAGTAAGTCAGAGCGGCCATATGTTTTCTCTCCTTCCTAGCTTTTGTTCAGAGCAGATAACTTGTAAAGTTACACGATTAAAAAATTGTGAATGAGCTCAATTGCCTTAAATACGGTCGACCATTGACCTCCTAAATCTTGTGTTTTTTATGTTCCTGTGGTATGATCGAATAAACCAAAATTGGATGCTATGTCGGTGTTTGTGAAGAAAATCCATCGCCTGCCTGAGGTTTGACAAGATTCTTCTTTCCCAACAAGTGAGCCTTAAAATATGTAATACACGAGCATATCTAATGCTGTGCCTCTTATGCAGACTATTTTTCTACCTGTAGTTGGTCTAGTAGATCCGGACATTCTGAAGCCTGGAGATTTAGTCGGTGTGAACAAGGACAGTTATCTGATCCTCGACACTCTCCCGTCAGAATATGACTCACGCGTGAAGGCAATGGAAGTCGATGAGAAGCCAACAGAGGATTACAGTGATATTGGAGGCCTTGACAAGCAGGTTGGCAGAATATCTTTGTACACTATTCAGACATCCACTCGATATTTTTATCTTTCAAAAAATTGTGGAACTCAGGAAGATGATGGAGAATTTAGTCTTTGTGCATCAGTTGTTGATGACCTGAACTTATTAGAACTCTTATGCCGAAATTGTATGTCATTTTTTTCTAGCCTTAGATCGTTTTTTTTTAAAGTAGCTGTTAATGTTCAAAGGTATTAACCCTTGAGCATGTGATTTTGTAGATTCAAGAACTTGTCGAGGCGATTGTCCTTCCAATGACCCATAAGGAAAGGTTTGAAAACATCGGTATTAGGCCTCCCAAAGGTGTTCTTCTTTATGGCCCTCCTGGGACCGGTAAAACCCTAATGGCTCGAGCTTGCGCTGCCCAAACGAATGCGACTTATTTGAAGTTGGCCGGTCCCCAACTTGTCCAGGTGCATTCTCGATGTTCTACATTTGCAATCATATGAAGAAATGGTACACATGATGCATTCTTTGTGTGCTATTCAAATAGTAACTACGACACATCAACAATATGGTGCATCCACACAATCACAACTCAATCCAAGACGGCACAGTTCAATAGTTCCGCAGCTCTTTTTGGTAAAGTAATGAAACTTAATCTGTTGTGCTCCTTTCAGATGTTCATCGGAGATGGAGCTAAGCTGGTCAGAGATGCTTTTCAACTAGCGAAAGAGAAGGCTCCCTGCATTATTTTTATAGATGAGGTGGATGCTATCGGTACCAAGCGTTTTGACAGGTACTTGGAGATGGCTTGCACATTTTAATCGGAAAATGATCTCACTTGTGGAAGTTTTTCATCAAAATTATCTTAGTGCCCGAATTGGACGTGCTGTGAGTTGCGTTTTAGACGGATCATGCAACATATGATGATTGACTTGTATATGACTCACGCGCTTTTAGATTGTTGTCATTTGTTGTATCTACTATGTGCCTGCCAGTCAATTTAGCCCAGCATTTCACAGGATAAGATCGTAAATCGGCTGGCTTGTACTTCAATTGTAAGTCGCGAAATATGCACAAATGTTGCTCCACCTGAACTTACTGTCATCATCTAAAGTATTTTCTACTTCCCGAAATAGACTAACTTGAGAGCTAATTTTGGCAGTGAAGTGAGTGGTGATCGAGAAGTACAGCGGACCATGTTGGAGTTGTTGAATCAACTTGATGGTTTTAGTAGTGATGATCGAATCAAGGTGTGTAAGATAATCAATTTTCCAACTTCTGTCACTGTTTCTTTCTGTTGGCTCCCACAAAGTACCTTGATTTGTGCAATTCTCGTTAGACGTCGTTCCTTCAATCTTATGCAAGCTGTTTGTGCAGGTAATTGCAGCAACAAATCGTGCAGACATTTTGGACCCTGCTCTTATGCGTTCTGGTCGTCTTGATCGTAAAATAGAGTTCCCTCATCCTACCGAAGAAGCCCGTGCTCGCATCTTGCAGGTAAAGAATATGTTTCTAGAATGGGTGACCCTGCAAAGTATGACATTTCATTTTATCTCTGCATGTGCCTGAACTAGGTTGTGATGTTGAGAAGAATTTTCTGGAGATGGATGTGCAGAAGATGCTGAGTGCGTGGCAGATAACGATTTTAAACCCACTAACTTACCGATGCTTGTCGGGAGTAACTGCAGATTCATTCTAGGAAAATGAACGTGAGACCGGACGTCAATTTTGAGGAACTTGCACGATCCACGGATGACTTCAATGGAGCACAGCTGAAGGCCGTGTGCATCGAAGCAGGAATGCTAGCCCTACGGCGGGATGCCACTGAGGTAAGATAGTGATGAAAGAGTGAAGTGTAGAGATGAGCCCGGAAACTTCCCCATTAAAAGATATTGCGTAACTTTTAACAACTCTATTCGTTATTCATTTTTTAGCCCTTTTAGCTTGAAAGATTCTTCTTTGAGGCCTACTTGGCGACAGTGGTCGGTGGTTGCCGTCATGCCCGCGTGCTCACCTTGATGACTGTATTGGAACTACGCAGGTCACTCATGAGGACTTCAATGAGGGAATCATCCAAGTTCAAGCGAAGAAGAAGGCTAGCTTGAACTATTATGCTTAGAGCAGTCTGAAATGATGTTGTAATTGCAATTGAAGGTTGAATCGCAACGGCCAAGAACAGTTCAGCATGAAGAAGGTTGATTACTCGTCGCTGTCCTGTCTTCTGCAATCAGTGTCGTCTCCTTTCGGCTGAAGACTACGCAAGATATGCGTACAAATGCCTGGTCTGTTCTGGCTCGAAATATCTGCTGTAATGTTTTCGGGGATATTTTTGCGGGTGACCGAAAGAGAGAAGGCTCAAGAAGAGTACATTTAAGCTCCATGTCCTATTCCTAACTATGTAAATGAAGTTTAAGGTGAGGGGAACTTCACGCCAGAAAGTGTAGAACTTTGATGTTTCAGGTCTTGTGGCTTGAAACTTTTGTGAAGATCCTTCCGAAGGTGACAGATATCTCATGGCGTCCTGAAGGTCGAAAGTACATGTTATGTTTCATCTTTCTCCGGGAAGGCAGAAAAAGTTGGGAGCTCGATTCCCTTCACCTTTTGAGAGTCAAATAGGCACATGAGTAATTTATCACAGAAAGGTGACCACGTTTTGAATCCAGAAATGTCTTTTGAACTAGTATGTATATTGTAAAGTTGCCATATTGATGGCTTTCACCAATGTACACGACAAGAGATAAAAGCTAAGTGTGGTTGCACGTAAGTAGCTGATGATAAGACCCAATTATTATGAGCACAGTGCTTGAGTTCAAACTGATGTACTAGCTATCCACTTGGTGAGTGAGTGAATAACTACGGAAGGATACGTGAGGAAACAGAGGGTTTTAATAACAAATCAAGATAGAACCGAACGGCAAAGTCGTCTAGAGCGTGAGACGACCCAATGCTTCCTCGACGGTGATGCTTAACCCTCTGCCAAGGATTTAGTTCATGCCGTTAATTGTGGTGTTTTCACACGGGAGACGCATCTCCTGAATGTGGAATCGAAGAGCATGATGAGAGGAGACCACTATGTGTGAATGTGGTGTTCTCACACGGGAGACGTATCTCCTGAATGTGGAATCGAAGAACAGGATGAGAGGAGACCACTATGTGTCAGTGAATGGATGGGAGGATTGAGGGTGGAATCCCTGATATAGATGTATATCTAAGAAAAAGTAAAAATTTCGTAAACCTTATGACTAATGTTGAAGATATACGTTGGCTTTCGCTGAAGTCGGATAGATTTACAACACTTGCGCTTGTTCGGAGTAAGGACATAGGTGAAAGATAACAGTTCGTGTGTCAGCTCGCACAGGGCCTCAACGCGAATTCTACTGCAGGATTGTACTGGAACTTATAAATATTCGAGGCTGCGAATCAACCATTTCACTATGACTAATAACATCTGACTACAACCAATGGCGCATGCCATCCAAAACTCGCCGGCTTTATATCGAATTTAGTGTTCTGAAGTTTTCTGAAGTTTTCTGAAGTTTTCTGTAGAAAACTCCTGTCCAAAGTGTCAGAGTAACAGCCTTCCTTGTCACTTACCAACCATTACACGGATATATTTATAGCAGCGACACCTGCGCGACACACCTCTTGAAGTGGAGAGCTAGGACCTGGACGTTCTTCGTTGTAGGGAAGCATGCCTTACAGCTATATTATATTATTTTGGGAAATTGCGTCTGACAGAGATGCTACCAAAGCCTTCTTTTCACTGTCCTAGATATATTTGCCCGGTATACTTGCCAAACTTGAAAACTGCCAAGTCATATACCCGATCAAGGCTTCATGGATGAAATCAAAGATTTTGTCTACAATAATTTATTTTTATAATTTTTTCCAACTTCTCAAATTTTGTAGGCATTACCAACCCAAAAAAATGTGGGTCGAAATCTCAACTGTAGGGTTATTCTGTCAAACTATCTCCGAATTATTTCACCACTCCCAATCCAACTTTTGGGTCCAATTTCCAAGGGGTAAAATGGGGGTTTAAGTCCATACAGGATGACAATGCGAACTGCTTAAATATATTATCACATGTAAAATTAACAAATCACGAAGTATGCGATATTTCACGCAATTTTCTTCTTCGACATTGTAAAATTTAATTATTTTATTATATATATATAATTTCTTATATCAATTTCACAAGCTAGTGAAATTTTACATGTCAACATGTCATACAATAAGCTAAAGAGAGATATCTCATGTCACATTAATCGATATACTCTTGAGTGCGTTTTCATGAATGTCACAATCCGTGTTGTAATTTATATTTAACTCTTAAGTTATAGGATCAAAGAGATAAACTTTTGCATTGTTTACATTTTTAGAACTTGGATATTGCAACTCAATTCGCTGCCAACGAAGAGATAATCTTCTTGCACAGCCTTATACTTGACGCATTTGCTGTCGGGATTCCATTTGCGGCTCCAGCATGATGATCAGCATTTCTAAATCATGTTAATGTAGAATCTTTAACATAAATGTATGTAATAGTAGCATGATAGTCTGAACCAAGTAAGTTTGATCTAATTGGAGTTGACAAGCTCTATTACTGAGAAGTATCGAAATCTTCATGTCATCTAATTTTGATTAGCTAACTCTAAACGGGCAACAAATTATAATTTTCTCTAATATATATAAGGTAATACATTATATATATTAGATTGATAAATCAAACCTAATTCAAAATCTCATTGCAGTTGGAAGGTAACAATCAAAGATCAAAAAGGTAGAAATTTAGCAAGAATTTAGAAGATGATTAGTAGTATGAGAAATCATTAATTATTAGTAGAAGATCCAAGAGGTTAGATGCTTAGAAAAGATTTTTAAAGATGAATAGTAGTATGAGAGATGATTAAATTCATTATTAGAGACTGCAAAATCTGCTTAAATATGTAAATGATCAAGTTGCATTATACAAATTGTAGAACAAACTATAAAAAATAGAAAAAAATGGGAGATTATGTCATACCTTTAGGAATAAAGCACCTTGGAATTGACTAATAGTATCTATAAATAGATGAACATATTAAAAATCTTTGAGAATATTATAAATGATATTAAAATTTTAGATAAAGAAAAATTGATGAAAATACTCAACTGGTAAAAAATGCCACATTTTCTGGTATACTCTAACAATAATCCTAAACTTCCATTACACACTCAAAAGGACAGAGTTCAATAATCTTCTCAAAGATGTCACACTGTACATTTCATGCTTATGATTTACTTCTAACGATTATCAAATATAATATGAATGCATGTAAAAATATAAACCATTTCAGTAAAGATTTGTGAGTTGAAGAGCAATAGGATTGGTTGTATCCAAAAAATATCTACATTATATATTAAACCTCCGCTCTATGTAGTAAATATAAACAATATTACATGCAAAATTGTAACGTGTCCTTTCATGACGTAAAATTCCATCATGCAACATCCACATGGTGAATGAATCATCTGTTCCCCGTAGAAGATGTCATTCACGTCAAAGATTTTTGACGGACTATTGTGAAATCCTTTAATGTCATTACTTCTGTTCGGAAGAAACTAGCGGTATATTTTCCAGGCGATGATGTAATGAAAATTTTTCTACAAATAAAGACAAATACATTTTTTCGGAAGAAACTAGCGGTATATTTTCCAGGTGACGTGGTAATGCAAATTTTGCTACAAATAAAGACAAATACGTCTTTTTGTCAAATGAAATTTACGCCCTCTTCTACTATATCTTTTTATATACGCTCTGTATAGATACCGTACCCGTAATTTAAATTGGCATTTCTCGCCAGCTTGAACAGCTTCATCGGAACGACAAAGGAGAAGAGGGAGGCGACTGGAAAATCGGTACTTGAGATATACGGAAACCTCTCATTATATTAAGAAAATAGACCGCCTTTAGTAAATTCAAACGTTTGGTATTAAAAATATGTATCAGTACTCTCCTCCTAGCAATAATTCCAAAATTAACTGGGTTCGAAACTGCCCTACAAGTGTCTGGACCCACTTAGCTAGTGGGACCTTATTTTGACCGACCTGTTACTTGCGAAGTTGGATGCACAAATTTTGCAAATGTCCGGATATATTGTCGTACCCTCACCGTCGACTGTCTATTAATACATATAAAAACATGTTGTTCGTCTACTTGATCATCTACTTCGACATTTGAAACTTTGCACTCTACAGCCAGACTTTTTCATCCTTGTTTTTTAAAGAGAATTTTCTAAGTAGACATGTTTCGGAATAATGAAAATTTATGCTCTCCCCCAAAAAAATGATAGTTTTTAGAAGGGTAAATTGTTATATATTCCTGAACAAACTATTATGTACTGGGTTTACATCCTTCTTGTCGTATAGGTTTCCCTTGTTTGTTTCACATATCCCATCGAATGAACGGCAAACTTCGATCAATGTGGTACTTCAACATTGTTACCACTTCCACCATATGCTTCATCCAACTCACTTTGTACTCATCCAACCATAGGTTATACGAGAAGACAGTTCAATATTTGAACAATTTTGTTTTTCCAATCCGTTTGATAAGTCTTGAAAACAGAAGCTGAGTTCATTTCTTATATTTTTCCAAATGCAACTATCTTTGGTTAGAGTGGGAAGAAAAATATTTGTAAAGAATTTTATTATTCTACTTCTTCATTCTTCATCAACATATTTTTTTTCGCTTCTAAGTCACTACTATAAAGTAAGTCTTGGAATAAGTTTTCAGAGTATATTTTTTCCATGTTTCATTACAAATTTTACAATGAATTAGGTACTTAATCATCAATGATGTGATTATGTACGAATTAAAAGAACTATGTAATGTTATTCAAATATTTCATAGTAATATGAATAACTTGGATCAAAATATTTTTTTATGCTTTATTATTATTTTTTTTTTTTTTTTACCATTTTTGTCCAGTTTGTATGAATTTCAAACAAACGAAAATGAATTGTCTTTGGTTCTGACCTCTAGATGTAGTAATATAGTTTCAAATCCATATTACTTTGACTGATTAATTTGAATTAAGACACACAATGGGGATCCGACAAAATGGCACACAATTTTGTCTAAATTCAAAAAGTATATTCAAATATTATTCAAATTGTGTTTCCAAATACATTTTCTTCTATTTTACATAAAATTCAATCCAGTCTCAAATAATAAATAAAATTTATTATTTAAATATTTTTTTAATAATTTTTTTTGAATACAAGCCAAATTTAATTTGCAATCATTATACATTCTTTAAGAAAATTTCTAAGTCTTGATTATAATTTTATTTGACATAGTGATGTTAAATTAAAAAAAATTGGCGTTATTAAATTAAAAAATATAAATTTTAAAAAAAAATTATTTACTTGAAAAAAATGCTTTATCATATGTTGACTCATATTTATATCATCATCTAGAATTTGAGACTGGATTCAATTGATGCACTCTTTGTAAACTTGATTTGAATTGTATATTAATTAATTGATTAATTGATTATTGTATGTAGATTTGATGTAGTTTTATGTTTATGTTAAACTTAGAACAGTTCATCAATAAATGAGAACTATACATTATTGTTTTGATTTTTTTAATCAAATATTCTGAACATTTATGTGAATTCATGTTGAATTGTTATCTCATTCACAGAACTAGTTATATAAAACCTTGAAATAATTTCGTTTTTTTCCTTTCAAGTTGAGTTTTAGGTTGAATCTCTTCATACTAAATATCAGTGACTGAAATAATTAGTATTTTAAGTTAGTTTTATCAAAATTTATGCTGGGAATGGAACACTGTTTCTATAAAATGCACTTCAGTGGAGATTTGAAAATAAAATATATAAAATCCTTCAGCGTAGATGAATTTCTGTTGGGAATATCTAATATTTGGTAATCGATATTTATGCATATAATATTAGAAGAACTTCCTACGCAACACGTTATGCGAATTCACGAGAAGGGGGTAAAAGCTCAAAATTTGCGAGCTTTTCCCCATTGAAGCTTTTATTTTGGGCATGACTCACAGTACATCATGAAAGCGAATCAAATTGCATCATAATGTACTGTGAGTCTGTATGACGCTCATTCTTTCAGTACGATGGTCTAAGACATCGGACGGCAGAACAAAAAATGAAAAAAATGCTTTGTCTGGAAATAACGCTACCAACGATTGAGGCGTGTACAAAGGGCTCGTCAAGGAATCAAAGCGGCGGAAGTCAAGACTTGTGCTCTGGACATGCGAACGAATGCGAAGGAGAATGACCAGAAGTCAGAGAAAGTGACCCCCGCGAGGGGCGTCATGAGACCTTCAGATAAAAGTAAAGGGGAAGTCCGGACCTTTGACAAATCCTGATCCCGTCCGGCCGCGACGAATGAGGAAGCGCCATGCCAAAGATAGACGGAGGGGGCTACAGGGGCCATTGACCAATCCAGGGGCGGATAGATCCGAGGGCCGAGCACTCATCGGGCGACCGTCGGTCCGTTGAAGAAGACAGCGGAGCGCGACGTATCTCTTGAAGTCGTAGCAGGATCGGGCCTGGCGATCTCCAACCGCCAGAGCGCAGAGAGGGGACGACGCCGGGACCGGTAACAACAGAACGCTGACAAAGCAGCCGAGGCTTTGTCGCATGCTCCGGCCCCAGAGGCCAGCAGGTCCAGCTACGCAGGCCCTCCGCGCGACGCAATGCGATGGATCCGAGGTAGGGTAGGGCGTGGCGACTTTGCCTAGCTGGAGGATGGTTGCCCGCCACCCCTGGCCCGCGAGGATCGCGACGTTTATCCGGTGGCACGGTCAAAGCCCCGCCCGGAAGTCGGAACCTAACCCGACGAGCAGGTCGACGGGCCAGATGGCACTCCGCTCCTCGCTTCGCCCTCCCCGTCATCGTCATCATACTCCTCCCGCCCGCCCGCCAGCCCGCCCGCCAGTCTCGGCCGCATGCCAGCGGGCCGAACCGCTCGTCAGTCCGATAAGGGCCGGCCCTTAGCCTCGCTGGTTCCGGTGCTGCTGCCGCTGTTGTAGAGGGCGTTCGCCCCTCGGCCATAACTGTGCTGTGCTGTACCTTTTGCGCCTTGCTTGATGGACGACTCGCACCACAAGAGCGGCAAGATCTGATTTGCTTGCAAGGGGGGACGGGGAAGGGGGAAAGCTTTATGCGCTGGCTGACGTGGAGCGATGAGTTGTAGAGCGCCTGGTGGGTTCGGTAGCGAGGGCTGTCTGGCCGCCTGTCCGTCCGCCTGGCCGCTGCCAGCTGCTGCTAGCTACTGCCCAAGGCACTGCCAATAAACTATCTTTAATTTGTCGGCTTGCGCTTGACCGGCCCTGCGTTCTTGCTGCGCTGCATCCTCTCTGGCATCCCTCCACTCTCTCGAGTGCGCTCGCTTCTTCTCCGCCTCTTCCTTCCTTCCTCCCTCTCTCGCAGTCCAGACCTGCAGCAGTCAAGTCGCGCCCTCCGGCAGACGGACAGCATCCTCTCTCTCCTCGCTCCCTCCCAATCCAGTCCCTCGTGTTCTCTCAGGCCCTCTCGCAATATAGTTTCCCCTGTCTCCTCGCTCCTGCCTCTCCTGCTCTCCTGCCCCTCTCCTCTCTTCTCCTCTCTGTCTCCATCGTCGCTGTTCAGCTCTCTCCGTCGCTCGCTCCTTCTCGTAGCCATAGTTCTGACGTCTCCCTTTCCTTTGCTCGAACATTCTCACTCTGTTTCGCTTTCTCTTGTGGCGAGGCTGGCCATTTGATAGATAGGCAGCTTGGCGATTTGACGACTTGGAGTCGAGTGGGTGGGTGGTGGTGAGAGAATCTGCGAGGGTGGTGGTGGATCGTCCGAGGAGCATTGTCAGGGTTTTCTTGGGTTCGCAAATTATGGTGGCGTCCGAGGGGTGCGATGGGTTTGGGTCCAGCATGAAGCGCGGTATGACGACTTCTCTTCTTCTGCCGAGCTGCTGCTGCACGGGTGGCTTTCAATTTGTCGTCATCCTTGAGGCTCTGTGCTGAAGGAGCTGCGGGCGGATACGAGCTTCACGCTGGGTGTATCGTTTTCGGCTTCGGCTGCGGCCGTACTGGGAACTCACTTCAGGCGCATTGCATCGGTTGGGTTGTTTCGTGAATGAATGTGTGCGGTCTTTTCCGAGTGTTTCTTGCGACATGGTTCTGCACCAGTGGAGTAGCTGTACATAGGCCTTGAATTAAATGGTGTCTTTTTCCGTTTGAAGAGCCCCGGTTGGTGGTGGTGCGGAGGATACTCAGGGTTGGGACACACATGTCGTGATGGAACCCCGGGCTTTTATCAAGGTTTCGGTCTTAGGTTTAGGCCTTAGAATCCCGGTTGCCTCGAAAGCCTCCAGGACAGGAGTACACGCAGCTTCTTCGCCCTGCTTCTGCGAAATAAGCCTTCCAAACTCTCCTGTACAGACGGTGCCCGTGACTCTTCTCTCCCCGACGACTGTGGATGCCGACACTCATACGCTGGCGGCCAGTTTCTACCTGGACGAGCCTGCTCTCCAGAAGCTTTTGACGACGTCTTGCTGTAATGCCTCGCCTTCGTTTTTAAAAGTAGTAGTATTCTCTGGACGGCAGGGATCTTGTTGCAGAGTCCGAACAGGGAAGAAACTTGGTACTTTCAAACTGCCCGTAGGAATTGAATGGACGGAGCGGAAATCGGTTCAACTTCATAATGGCTGGACTAGCATCGGGAGAAGCAAGGGCGAGGGAAGGAGACCGGGAGCCGAATTACACGTTATTGTCAAGGTTGAACCTGATCCTAGATATGTTTTCCAGTTTGATGGCGAGCCCGCGTTGAGCCCACAGATTGTACAAGTGCAAGGCAACATGCGGCAACCCATTTTCAGTTGCAAGTTCAGTCGAGACAGAAGTTCACGCTCTCGGTAAGCTTTTGGCTCCTTTGCCTCGATGTCTCGTGGCTAGACTAGACTCTGTTAGTTCGGGGTTTAATGTAATGATGTTTGTAGCTCTCGGAGTTGTGCCTAAAAAAAGAGTCATCATAGGCTGCAATAGAGGCGGACCTCGTCCCTCATACCTATGGTTTTGGCCTTGGAGATATTGTATTTTCCTTCCTACATGAGATGATACACTCAGCCGAGCGGGTGAAGTAGTAGATTTCCTGGTGTCTCTGCCCTTGCCGTTTTTCCGGTATGCTTCATGTATGTGGGGATGGTGTCGGACGTCATGATTACACAATCATGGTTATTGATTTTTCTAGCAATTTTGAAGAAGAAATGCTGCCTTGCTGCAGCTTGCTGAAGATTGCCGAGAGCTTTTTCGCATGTACTATCGTCGATTTTGAAGGGTATACCCTAAGTGGTGGATACACACATCTGACCTGTTTTCTCCTCTGTGCTCAGGTTGGGTCCAGTCGATGTCTCAGCCGGGAATGGATGGTCGGGGTCCGGCACTGGAGACAGCAGCAAGGAGAGAAAGGAGCGCAAGGGATGGCTCGTGATGATCCACGACTTGTCAGGTTCTCCTGTGGCTGCAGCTTCTATGGTTACGCCATTTGTGCCATCTGCCGGGTCCGATCTTGTAAGCCGGTCCAACCCAGGAGCATGGTTGATACTGAGACCGGAACCATCGGGAGTTGATAGCTGGAGACCCTGGGGCAGGCTTGAGGCATGGAGAGAGCGTGGGCGAGGTGTTGTAGGTTGTAAATTTACTCTGAACCAGGAAGGTGGTGGAGTGGCGGGTGTGAGCTCGGGAGTTTTGATCGCGGAGGCTGTACTCAATGCCCAAAAAGGTGGAGAGTTTTTGATCGACACAGGCAGGCTGAGGCCAGAGGGATCATCGACGAATTCTCCAATCCAGAGCCCTAAGAGTAGCGGGGAATTCTCGTTCACTCACGTTCTTCCCTCCGTAGGGGGTTTCGTCATGAAATGCAACGTCAAAGGAGAGAAAAGCAGTATCAAGCCGGTCATCCAACTGGCCATGCGTCATGTAACTTGCGTTGAGGACGCAGCCGTGTTTATGGCGCTGGCTGCTGCGGTAGATCTCAGCGTGGACGCCTGCCAGCCTTTCTCGAGGAAACTCAGAACCGAGCTTTCTCACCCTTCGGTACCCTCGTAGGCAATACCCTCTTAGATATGGTCATAGCCTGTCAGAGTGGTCCTGTCCTCCTTCTGAGACCCACATAACGGAAGTACGAACGCCCTCGGTCAATCGAAACGAGGCAATCTAAAGAACGGGAGCGGGTGTCTCATTCAAATAGAGTTTGAAATGTGTTGTAGAGAGACATGGTGGCCAAGCACCTCGGCTCGTTCTCTTCGATCCTTCCTGAGGACGTCGCTTGTCTCGGGCGAGCTGGATTTCGCCCCGCAAGCTGCTGGCTGGGCCGATGGACGACGCATTATTATGGATAGCGCAGCTTTTTTTAAAATCAGTTACTGTATTCTATCATCATCATCACCTGTATTGTAGGAGGGTGCATTGAAACACCCTGCGCACTGTACCATATAACTAGAGAAGAACGTCGTTGAGTGAATAGAAGTAGCTTCAGATCTTCCGTTCCCATACTTTTGGTATGTTACTCGACTGTACTCATCCTGTGCAGCATTTCTGCCTACCGACATCAACTATTTTCCTGTAGTTTTCGTGACCAACGCAAGAACGGGTTTTGTATTTTTCTGAGTCGCTTGCTCGCTCGCACCCACCGAGTTTGCCCGGCCTCATGGGATTCGGATGTCGTTACTGTGATGCAATTTGCGGATCGAATGTCTCGGATCTTTCCATCCACATGTCTCTGCCAAAGTAACATTCTCCTCCCCTCGGCCTCGCGACACATGGATTTCTGCGGGGACATTGCATGTCCAAACATTTCATCCGCCATCCCTCCGATCTCGGCCCGTCCAAGAATGACGGGCAGCGGCGGAGGCAGTGGCATTCGTAATTCCTTGTAACGAGGGCGCCATCGCAAGGCTGTGTATTTTTGGCACATTCGTTCGAGGCCATGGGCTGGCGGTGAATCGACGCCTCGACACGGCAGTTGCCCCGGAGCCATTCTACCGGCTGCAAAGCATCGCGCGGATCATTGCGCGACGTGAGGAATCTGCCCAGCGAATCCGCCTCAATCGGCCAGCCTGGCGCCTCGGTGGAGCCCCACTGGCCAGCGGAGCGGAGAGCTCAGAGCGGCAGGGTTTGTTCTGTACCGCCGGATATAGCTCACGGCGCTGTCCGGGCGAGGCGACGAGGGCATCTTGAGTGATTCCGAGACGAGAGGGCTCGTCCGGTCGCACGAGTAAAAAAAGGAAACGAAACCATGGCGAGCTGGGCACGGGCACGGGCACGAGCACGGCGCAGGTTGGAATCGGCAGCGGAGCTGGCCACAACTCAGCAAAATTCGAATCGTACTTGTGAGCCTGGAGATGAGTGTGCGGTCGATTGCAGTGTCCGCGTCCTGGTGCTCCTGCTGTAAAGGCGTGAACCCTAATGCTGCAGTGCAGGGGCAGAGCTGCTGAGGCGAGCAAAGGGAGTGGAAAGCGTGAAGTGACGATCGCACCAACTTCTCCTCAGAGCCAGGCCTCGGCACTGTGAGGACGACATGCACCTCGGGCCATTAGAAAAGTCTCTGTTGGCCTGTCAAGGGCCCGAGCCTGCCCCGCCTGCCTGCTGGCGCCAGCCAGCTCCCATGTGCTGTACTCGTCTTTCGCCTTGTACCTCCCCTGGCTCTCTTCTCGTGAACATTCCTTCTCCCTCTCCTTGCCCCTCGCCCCTCGCCATCGCCCCTCTGGATGTCAACTCGCAGGGCTTTGTCTCGCACCTTTTGCCGGTTCGGTGGACGGATAGGTTCGACAAAAGCGCACAGTATCTGCCTTCGCCAAGGGCCGGAACTGCCAGTCAATGCGGATTCATTTTCCATGAGGTGGACCGAGCCACTTTGGCCACAGGTCGCCCTCCTTGTGACCTAAGATGGTCGCTCGCTTTTGCCTCGCTGGAGCCCTCTGCCCTCAGCTCCAAGCACTGGCCGCTGCGGATGCGTCTTCTTCGCTTTTCCAATGCTTGGACCACGACAAACGATGGATTTGACAAAAAGGAAAATAATAGCGATGTGCAACGACACCCGGGAAACTACGAGGAGTAATAACTGGTTGTTATCAGTTTCTATCAAGACAGCCGCCATGGCCCTTGTTCGAAGCAGCCTGGAGCTGACAGGCAAGTAACAAAGCACGATGCACATGTTAGGACAGTCATTGCGTTGTCGTATGCATCGAACTGTATCCCATGAGGTGCCGTGACGCCAACACTTGTCGACAAACCAGATGACGAGGACGAGGCTCGTTTCGTGATTCATATATCTTCCCAAGATAGAGACGAGATGGGCTTCTTTGGGCTCGAGAATTTCGCCCACAAGGAGGAGGTAAGACCCAACGAAGCAGAATTCCACATTGTAGAGTTCGTGGCCAGCCCCAGAACATCCCAATGGTGAACATGTTTACCATTTACCATTTACCACTATCCCCATTATATCTCGAATGTACTTATGCAACACACCTTTTTGGGATGTTGCATATATATAGTTGCGTTACTACGTATGAAAGGGATATTATTTGTACCATAATATATATTCAATCCTTGAAAGGAAGAACTCATTGTACTAATGAATGACTTCTCTATCTCTACCGTCTTTGGTATGTTGCATGTAGTATCCCGTTAACTGTCTCAGAAACATGTGTACATTTGTATCTATGTTATAGCATAAATGTAATGATGAATTAAAGAGTTCTTAAAATACGTATATAGTTTTGGTTGTCTTACCAACATATAAAAACAGATGCCATGTATTGAATGGCAGTGTGTGCAAGCAAATACTAATCAACTCTAATATTGGCAATACGAATCAATTTTAATTCTCAAAAGATAGCTATCACTTAGGGTACAACCGTTTTCCAACAATGACCATGGTTTAAAACTTGGAATAGAATCTTCAACTTGGATCTCATCTAGTCTCATTCGCCGATAGAGACAAATAGGGAAACATATATTATTGACATGCATGCAGAAATATAATGCATAATCTTTCTTGTTTCATTCGAATAAGATTTAACTGACCACTCAGATTATTCACAGAGAAACGTTCAGGTATGTAGTTGATGGATCCACCGTTTCCTCCATCACAGATATTTGGGATGCAATGTTCAAAACTAGTTGTTCCTAGTAGCTAATTGAATAAGATTGAATCAATGAGGAAAATAGCTTGCACATGAGGAATATAGCTTTACACGAGGATTTAGAAACACTTTCAAGACAACCAAAAATGAAATCATACAAGAACGCTACCTTTTCAAGCTGAATAGAAGATTTCAACCAAACGCTGTGAACTAAAGTGCCCAGCTTGAAATGTTCAAAAGGCCGTAGTTCAAAAATATCTGTCCAATTCTGCACAATACTACCTCTCTATTCATTAAAACTTGTTATTTAAGCACATGAAAGATTTGTAGCTATAATCGTCTAATAAATCTACTTTTCCTGATTATATGACATTCTGTTCGGTTCAGTCTCCAAGATGTACATATTTACTCGAGTGTATCTTTCAAACCTACATTTATAATGAAATGCACTATCTTACGCTGGTACAATTGCATCGGATATTGCACGAATAATCATATAAGGAGTTTGCAAAGGCAGATCGCATGAAACTTGCGCGTTGTCTTCTTATGATTGATCTGTTTTATCTCTCTTATGTTCAGATAATGTATCCATAACCTTGTCATTTACACTAGTCATTTACAGAAAAACAAGATGGTCGCAAAACCAAAATCGTGAAAAAGTAACATAAGGAAGAATTAATTATTATGATGAGCCCAATATATTCATCTTCAAGAAACAGAGAGAGAAGGAGAGAGAGTGTGTATATAGAGCTCGTGATGTAAATCACTTTTATTCAATGGCTTGTCATCAATTCAAGATAAGAAGAAATAACAACGAAGGACGTTGATGAGGACATGTCACCTACTGCATCATGCTTCTTTAAATTGTAAACGCTATAACGCTTGGTACAATTATGACTATGTTGTGTAAGAAGAATAAGATACTAGCTTCACGTTATGATACAAATCTATAATAACAAATTTTACTGTATCACTTCACATATAGTGTTATGATTTGTTGTAATATTGATTCCAATGTCAAGGACTAAAGGTTGCATCTATTCATATTAAATTAAAGAATAGTTTTGGTAGTTCATTTAGCCAAAATGTAATGAAATTAGCAATTGGAAAATATCGATATGGTTGTTTTGCATTGAGATTTTTGTAAAATGACATTCATACTCTTTAAGCTACATAATAAGAAAACTCTACATGTGAATGCAAATACTTCTCATCTTTGTGGAGACAAACACTTCATTATTTGATAGATTCATTGATAAAATAAATCAAAGTGTTGCAAGTATTCCTTTATTCATAAATATTTTATAAATATATATTTTTTAATCTATTTGATACTACTTGAATAAATCTCAAAATTATGTAAGTACAGCATACGAAAATTTTAGTGTTTGTGGTAAATATGAGATGTGAAAGACAATTCAATCCTTTTCCATACATTAAGCCTTAGAAATTCATATATAATGATCTAAAATATAGCTTGGATACATAAGTATGTTTTGTAAATGAATTGGTTATGATTCTTTTTTCAAATTTATAATCTATGCAAAAAAATCTTAAAAAATCTGGATGTAATGAAATCAGTTTCTGCTAGATTAAATTTGAAATAAAACATGTTAAAATTATTGAACCTACATAGATTTGATGTCATCAAATTTCTATTTACAAGGTTTTGGTCATTTTGATGAATTTTTTTCATAAAAAATCCGTTTTTCATGAATCTATCAATCTATCAAAATTTCATAATTAGATAAAATTCATTTTATACCTTAGAAAATTTAATCTTGTATGAACTTAGACATGAATTTATAACAACTCTGATACACGCAACATGATATGAACAAAATGTACCCCATATACCATTTGATAGAGATGAATCTCAAAATATATGTGATATTGTTCATGTTTAAATTAACCATTATCGTTGTATGCTATTATATGCAACTTATTTCAAGATGACAATATCTTGCTAACTTTGCAAATCTCATTATTTGGACCTTTGCAGCCGACTTTATTACACAGTTTGATTTGTCCTTGCAGAAATTACTAACCACTAGGCGTGTATTAGGAGAAACTCCTTTCTTCTGAAAAATACATTTCAGAAAGCAACCGAACTTACGACATCGTTTGATTTGTCATTACAAGAAATGATAACTACTAGGCTAAATGCTTATAAATATCAAGAGCATGAAGGGATTTGTGAAAACAAAAGAAGTGTCTAGAATGACAGTGAGATGATTGATCCAACAAAAATCTTACACACATAACTCTTCTCACAACATCTACTAAAACCTCTACGTCTTAATGAGTTTTGCGTTTCATTTTATGTTTCTCTGAAGATAGAAAAGAGTACGCATGATGATAACGAATTCAAACTAAACGTTTCCGAAGAGGCACCAAATTTTTACTCTCCAACACACAGAAAGTATCATTATTAGTACTGTGTGAAGTAGTATAGGATCTACGGTAGCGCGAATCGAACTGTCTTCGTTAATTTCCGCTCTAGTAGCCCAACGAAGAAACAACGAACTCCTCTGCCACCATATCAGAACTTTGTATGATCGGCCCTGACATCCACTAATACCAAAATTCCTATCAATTTAGTCTGCACTGTTTCTTCGTTCTAGCTCGTCCGTCTCTTCCGTCGTCTTATGAAAGAGATAGCTTCTGACCTCCCCGTCCCTGCGCTGCAACTACGTACCTTCGAGATCTCTCTACAACTAGTTGTAAACTTCTGCTCTGCATTTCTTCTTTACTGTTCCATTCCCACGATTGCCCAACGTAACGACGACGAAACAGGAAGAAAATCACTCAGTTTCTCTCTCGTCGGCGATATGATATTGGAGTGACAGTGTCAGAACCCTTGAGCTATTTCGATTCTTTTAAACACCCGCATCCAGCCCAAATGCTCAAAATATGTGACTTGCAGCAAAAACCGCTAGATAAGTTGTCGAAAGCTCGTGATTGATACGACAGAATTTAAGCCTTCAACTGGACTAGATAGGAGCCGAATATGAGTCTGATGACAAACATCTCATCATTTGTAATTTGATCAATTATATTCCGCAGCATCGTGCAGTAGAGTTGGAGACTTTAATGTCCAGGATATAGATTTTCACAACAAGGAGACTGCTTGTTATGAGGAGATACTCCTTTCTTGGGCCACATTGCAGAAGGAAGAAACTCAAGTGTGAATACAACTGATGTGGGCAGGAAATGGCTTGGATGCATATATTTCTAGTTTGTCCAGCTTCATTCTGACGTTAGTAAGTACAAGATCCTCGAGACCGGACTCGTCAAACGATCAGAACAATCGGTTTTGACCGTATTACGTCATAACTATATGTACGAGAAAGCTTAAAGCTGGACCATTGTAAGGGGAGATGATATAGCTCAACTGACCAGAAGTACCTCCTTAAGTGCTAGAAAAACTTCTATGCCACAGTATCTTCTAATCGGCACCACAAAAGAGGATTGAATAGACCTCTGAGAAGCCGTAACTTGATCATCAAGCACCCTACCCACAACCGGCGTTCAACAATAAGTTGTAGGTTATGATGACCACTCTAGTCCCATGTATAAATCAGCTGAATTCATTGAAAAGCACAGGGATCCAGGTGGATAGTAAGCCGAAATGAAGAAACTAAGAATGCAGTGAAGATCCATAGATTCGGATATCGTGATGAGATGAAACTAAAAGGATAACTTGATTCCTAGATATCGACCTCCGTAATTGACAATCTCAACAAACTGAGAAAGGTGACTGTTCGTGCACATAAAGTCCTCTGAACTACAATGCGTAGGTAGAGGAAAGAAGGCGAAACTTTGATACCGTCCTTCGTTCACTTCAGTACAGTAATCCTCTCCTGAGCCAGCCAACTGCATATGGGCTTCAGACCGGGGAATAGTTTCTTTATCCAGTTTTGTCGAGCTCTAGTGCGATTCCATTTTCCACCAATGTGTCAATGATCGTTTGCATTCTATTGTCCATCTTCTCGCCCCTTCTTGGCTCATAGATCACAGTATAAACATCAGCTTCTTTTGCTCGGTCCGACAGGACTTTTCCAATGACCCAGGCTGCTCGCATGTCTCCATAGGAAGGCAACGACCCCCTAAACTCTTTGGCATTGGAATTCGCAACAGCAACTACCTTGTGCAGTGCTCTATGCATAATTGTGGCGTGAATGAATCGATTCGAGATGAATATGTCGAGGGTGAAAGGTTTCAAAAACTTCTCACATCGTAATTTGAATGACCTTCTATGCTTCTTTTTCTTCGCTGCTGCTGCTTCTTGTCGAGATTTTCTCTCAGGCCAGGGAAGCTCTCGATCAACATCCTCATCCCAGTCAAGCTGCAAGTATGTCCCAGGCGCACCCACTACAGTCAACTACTAAACCTAAATTTCTTCGATGTGGAAACAAGCATTCTCAATCTAAACCTAGATTCCCGCACTGTAGAAACAAACATTTTCAGAAAAAAAATGGAACTTATCTCTTCATCGACGCTCCCAATAATTAAGAATATGGAGATTGAAATAAACGTACGTCCTCATCCGAATCCGGCTGTCTTCGGTGTCTAGAGCGCGTCGAAAACGATAGCACTCCACCAGATTGCCGGGCAGCCTCCCCAAGTGGGCCGATTGACAATTTCGCGGGTGATGAGTGCAGGAGATGAAACCGAGCAGCAGCCAAAGCGCGATCAGCCACAAATTTCAACATCTTCAAAATATACCCATCCAAGAGTGCAGAGAAAACATCGATCCAGGTTCTGCCGGGAATGGATCCAGCATGTGCTAAAGCTTCGCTTCAGCAGCAACAATCCCCTCGAGTTCTCGTCTCCATAAACGATGTCAGAAAAGGAGGGTAGAATCAGTCGCCAGGGTTTAAGGGAAGGGTTTGGGTTCACTGTCACTTTGCCGTGTCGAATCATTCTCGTCACTTTCCGTAGACGTTGGCGAGCTGACTCTGACCACGTTTCTTCTCCAATATATTGGAATACTGTCAACTTTACATTAACGACTTCTTCGGTAAATTATGTCACTTCCATTTGACCCTATCAAACAACAATTTCTAGTGACTACTACAGCTATTTTTATTTAATATTTTTTTAGTTACTATTATAGCGACTACAAGATTATAAGTATGCAGCATATCATGATGAATTGAATGTTGGAATGCTGCATACTAACATTTACCAACCAAAATAACATATAATACTTCTCACGAATTCTAATTACATTTTTTTGATGTGCACTTATTTATTATATGACATCAAATAATTCCCTTATTCAGTATTACCTGAATAACTGAATTCCTATTCAAATAATTTCCTTATTCGGTATTCTTCTTTTTAAATGAAACGATCATGTGATTTAGTTGTTTCTAATGTTATACCTTTGTTTTCTGTAAGTAAAATGATATCTTCTGTTTATCAATTTCAAGAAAATAGAATGTTTGATCACTTTTTCTCTTTTGTAACATAACATTTTGTGGTTAACATTTCAGATAAGCAATTTCGTTAACAGATAAGCAATTCTTCAGATTTCTTCATCTATTTCTTAAGTGAACACACCTTGCTACATAAATATTTATTACATGATGGTTGCAAAATATAAATTGACATCTTGAAATTTACATGATACACATTTATTTATAATCTTCGAAGGAATTTGACTTTTGTGTAAAAATTGAAAGATGAACAAAGAAAGTTTGTTTACAATACGGAGAGATAATTGAAATGACAATTCAAATGGAAAATTCACAAATAAATATATCATAAGAAGTAAACTTTGCTGTACTACAACATGAAGTCCTTCGATATAAAAATTTAATTTGTGTATCAAAACACACTTAAGAGTAACATCAAGTTTAGTAAGATTTCTTTTAAGTTTAATCCAAACGATGAGAAGAACAAATTCTGCATTTTCTTCAAATCCGTACTATGATGAAAATTGATCTAATCTAAAACACTGAAATTCCCAAATTATGATATATTGATTGGATGATTGTTGAATTCACTCAAATCTAATATCAAACGATAATAAAGTCAAAAGTAATGGAAGATTTAAAATACTTAATTGGATTTTAAGAAATTCTTTTATCATAAAAAGTGGTTCAATGTAATTTAGTAATATGAAATTTTTTTCCATAAATATATATGTAAGTTTTATCAAATATGTATCATTGATGTTGCTTAATTTTTTTTCAAAAATCGAATGAGACTTTTCATATAAAAATATATTTACGAATATGCATAGATACATAGATACACATATAAAATTATAAAGTAAAAATAAAATTTCATGAAAAATAAATTAGTACTGAAAATCCATCTATTATTACTTTAGTAGCTATATATGTCAAAATGTTTTACAAGTTTAGAGCATAAACTAAAACGTATTTTTCCAATTGGAGTTTGAATATCATTTTATTAGAGAAAAATTAATTTGATAATATTTTATCTATATCAATGCTTCAAGCATAAAGATATAAATATTTTTGATTTTTACATTGAATTAATATCATAATATATCATAAAATAATTTTCAAATAGATTTGATTCAAAATTAATATTGTGAAAATTGATGTTATTCTATCTAAATATTTTGCTACTTATATACTTTCACACACTATTAAAAGAATATTTTATGAAATGTATGAAGTATATTAACAACTTGATTAGATATTTGATTGATTTACTTGATTTATCATATAATTTTTTTGTTAATTTATAAATACTTCAATATATCAAGATTCCTGAATGAAATATGAATTTTTTACAACTTTTCATTATTTCATAGAGGATCCAAGTATAAAAGTATGTTCACATATTTTTTCTAAAATTTATGAGGATTCAAATAAATAATATTTAGTCATAAAAAAATCAAATTGATAACCATGTTTGAATTGATATTTTTTTTCTTGATATTTTACTAGAATTAAAATTAGGCAGAAATGATTGGATCAAGGATTTGATGTGTTTATCAATTGTTTATTGCGTAAACTGTTGAAAATCAAGTTCATATGTAAAGTTTTGGCAGTGTTTAATGTCCAATCTTATCGAACAAAAGTTGTATTTCATTGTAACAAATGAAAACATGCAAACCTCAGTGCTCAATATATATGATGGATTTTAAATTTTTGCTTCAGTTAATATAAATCTCCACATTCATATTCGAATGTCAAAGTATGATATTTTCTGACATTCAAACGGGTTTTCAATATTCCATTGAATTGAATCTTCATAAATGAGATTTCTTCTTCTTCTTTTATTAGATATTGTTGTGATGACTGACAATAACGTTTGATAGAATAGTTTTACAAGTACATGGAAACTAAAGATTGCTATGTCTGAATGTATATCTTTGTAATGGAAAGGTTAACATGATGACCTTCTTATTGAGACTTAAGATTATGTATAGAACAATAATAAATGTAAAAGAATCAAATGAAGAAATTAAGATTGTATAATGGTTACTCGTCTCTCTAAACTCTTTATATAGTAATGTTTTAAAATTTTAGAAATATTTTTGAAAAGTTTATCATCACTTACATGTGTATATATATATCCATTATGCACATATAGCTAAGTTTGGTTTCAAACCCAACAACACTTCATTTAAACCTTCCAGAGTGTCAATTCAGAAATAGTGTGTACAATGTTGTTACTGAAAATATATAGAATGAAAAGAGACATGCATGAATTACTCCTCCCGCGGAACATACAATTAAAAAGAATAGCTCAGTGTCCCCATATCATTCTCATACTTACTCATCTATAGACAAAGTAATCTACTCTCTTTTAAGTGGTTTAAACATCTATATTTACTCCAAGAAATTACAAGAACGAACATCAATTTGAAAACAATCAAGAATATATTGAAATATCATTGATAATCAATTAGCTATATATATATATATATATATATATATATGTCACATTATCTGGTCATTTTTTGAAATATAATGGTTCTTTTAATTCTAACTCAAAAAATCTAATCATATTTTTCGTTTATGGATGTTTCTTTTGTCCAGCAGAAGACAAGAGACAACTATACCTTACTCCCGGACACGTCGTACTGAGATTGGCCCAAATATAATTATAACAACATATTACCCTCCTTTTTGTATCTACTCCGGTATGCTCAATTCCAACCACTAGTAACCTGGTAAAGTTTTAATTATCATACTTGTAATACCATTTGAGTTGTTGCTTTGATTTCAATAATCTTTTAATGTGATATCATATTTAACTTGATCAAGTATCGGAGGTAGGATTACATACAACATAAGATCATTAGAATCTCTTCAGAAATTAGTCTTGGATAACATTCTTCATACAACTTTGATAAGTGTAATATTTGAATATACAAGATAGCAAATTGTTTTTCTCGTGTATCCTCACTCCCAATGTCAAAAGTATGATAACATCACCATAAATAGAAAAACGAATCATGGCCTCCTGAACCATTCTCCAATTTCCTCACTTGAATCCCACAAGCTTGAAACTCACTTTATAAAGATATCTCTGGGCTCTGCAAAGCATCACCCAGAGCACTAATACAAGGCCTTGGCTCTCTGCCGTGTACTGCTTATGACATTGACTTAGTGGTACTGAATGTTCTTATCTAACACTAGTTTTGTTGATATCTTTGTGATACATCCGAATTTCGATGATTCACCGATGAGGTATGGGAATATATCAGGAATATATCACGAGGGCATAAGTTAAAATGCGCAGTTCACGCATTTCGACACCACACCTTCACCTCCGGCGAACAGAATGCAGGCAAGAACCTGCCGATTACAAAAGAACTGGAGCACCAGCAAGGTCTTCCCAAGTCAACGATGACTTGACATGCAAAGCCATCAATCATTGCGCAATGCTAGAGCTACCAATCAAGCATAATTTCCGGAACTTTGTGCCGAGCGATGTTGTGAGTAGATTATGTACCACATCAGACTGGAAAACAACGTCAATCACTCCATGCTCAAGCGGAAGTACAAGAGGCGGAAGGAAAGCCAAAGACGACGAGAAAGAATGCAATTTTATTCCTGATGATCTATGTATCCCAGCACGGACAATGTTACCCCAGATGTGGCATTTAGAAGTGACGCCCGAGGTGGAATCTAAGCAGAAGCGTTTGTTGCATATCAGTATTTCCATATATCTGCCACGAATAAGGAACTATTCCGCCACTCTCCACGGCTCATGTCGCTATGCTCTGCAGCCTCGACTACGAGTTAACCAAAAGTGGGATCCAATAGGGGTACTATACTCAAGAAGCCATTCTGAATCTATGTGCTTGCTGACGCCTGGTCTCCTTTCTCATAGGCCACGTCTGCGACTGTCGTATCCATATCATGGAGACCGAGTTCCTCATCCTGGTCCCACGATCTCTCATAGTCCTCGCCTGCACAGGCATGTTGTAACAGTCAACAACTAGATCAAGAACTACTGGTGTAACTATGAGCAAGACATCGAAAAGTAGCATCACTCACTGATCAACTGTGTATCTGCCTCGAAGTCGTCTGTAGCCGGTGCAATGAAAGAATTCGCGAGAGCATCATCAAGTACTAATGACCATTCCTCTTCACATTCCAACAGCTGCAACACAAACCCGCATGGATCACGAGGTCAATAACTGTACCCTGAGTCTTTAAGATTTGAGGTTTCATCATTCATATGCTCGTTACACATAAAAAATGTATGTTGATCAAAATTGAAGCCTACTGACGCCGGCCTAACGTAGTTAGAAATTAGAAGCATATAACGAATATTACTTATAGCCTGCACCGGCAGCCAGGCTGTAAGTTTTAATTAGGTACCTAGAAGTAAAAAACACATGCCATAAATTGCAACCTAAAAAAACCAAGAAAATTGAAGGGGAACGAGTTGACATTACAGCTTTCAGACATACAATACTATGAGAGGTAGAGCACTCTTTTCCAGGTTATCCATTATAATTTCAACAGGAGTCAGGAGTTTTCTGTAGTTCCTATACTGAAACATCCATAAGGAAGCTTTAATTTATTGACTGCTTGAAACTACTGACCTTCTTCAAGTGGTTGTCGAAATCTTGCCATTTATTCTTTCGCCAAGGGTCAGCGCTGTCTCCGATACTGAATCCATGCACTCGTTTCAAGCCTGTGGATATCAAGGCATCAAAATGAGGACGTCAAACCACACAGCACCTCAACGCCCCTCTAAGGGCAGTGTCGGTATGAAAGGCTTGGCTAACTACCTATGTTACACTAACACAACAATACGTGTACATAGGAAACTATCGAACAAGTGTCCACAAAACCTTCATATGCACAGACGTTATCATACAGAACAAGCAAAGGTATACGGCGAACAGATGTCAGGAGAGGGCATGTCAGAAAATAAAGGCAAAACAAACTTACTTTCACTGATCTGACAGATTAAACCTTCTACTGTTGTCACTAGACCCCCCAGAGTCCCTGGCGAAAGTTCCAACTCTACTTCAGGTACAATTACCATAGCTGAATCTGACTGTCAAAACGAGCACAACCCCATCAGAAAACTCAAATACACAGATTCACAGATTCCAGAATCTCACGATCATCATCACATTAAATTCATAGGAAAAAAGAGAACCGAAACGTATACCAGAAGAGTCGCCTCGACGTATAGAGGAGGTAGATGTGAGAAAGAGTTCCCCACAATTGTACCATACCAAAGTAACATGGACGGAAAGACATTGGAAAGCAAAGAGAAAAAACGGTAGATAAAAATAGAGATCGGCATTTCCTTATACCTTGATAACATCGCGACTAAGGTCCCTCTTACTCTTAACCTGTAAAGTGATCTTCTTGCCTTTCTTGGGTATGCTTCCACCTGGTTTAAGCTGATAGCATCAATCGATGACAAAGATTACTTTTAGATACTATCGAAGTTTACCAGAAGAATGAAATATGGACAATGAATGTTTCCACAAGTTATCAGCAATGAACTCCAATCTCTTCAGATAATTTCCTTTGCAAGCTGACACCTCTCCAAGATTTCGTACTGTACTAGGACTGGATGTATGAGTACCAGAAATTTCTGACAAGATCAGAAGAACGTTATTCACTTGAATAAGAGAGAGAAAAGCTGAACTCAACGTAAGACATGTTGATTGACAAATGTTACGTATGTAAAAACGTATACATAAATTTGAATTGTCCACACACACGTCCCTGGATGAGAGTAGGAATGTTATACCTCAGAGTTTCGGTACCCACAGCTTTCACAAGTCGATGCCATGACGATTACCTCCTTGAAATAAGGTATGTCTGACAGCAAGCAATTGAGGATATTTTTCCAAGAAAGTATACAAAAGCCGTCGCTATTTACTGTGGTGAGCCGTAAAAAGTTACAGATTCACTGACAACAATAAACATTTTCAATCAACTTAAAATAAGAATATCATGCTGCCATTGCGCGTGACAAAATTTATTTGAAAATTTATGCTTACTTTGGAATCTAAAAGGATACTTGTGACATACATTCTTGTTTCACAAGGGGAAATACAAGCTCCACATGTTGCTGGGAAGGTCATGACCTGTCAATGAAAATACGATGTGTAAATCTGTAGCGGTAAATAAGCGCAAATTGTAAAATTTGTTCAATGATCTCCTGATTGGAAGGGCAAGACAAACCTACCTCCTCGGGAGCAGAGTACTTAAAAAGAGTTGCGGCTATTTCTGCACTGCTACCCTCTGCAATTGCTCTATGGGCCCGTTCTGCCCCCACAGAGCCATGTGGTAATTTTGTTGTCCCTGCAGGTGTGTATCTTTGTTTCTCCTCTGTAGAGTGTTCATTTCCGTTGGTGGTTCCGACTATGACGGGCCCTTCGGTCTGGGCTGCCGATGCTTCATCCCCGTTCTTCTCAGAAAGAAACCCTAACTGTTCTTGCTGCTCACTGGTTCGATCATAATAATGTGTTGACAACAGTGGATCCCGAGATGGTGCGTAACTGCAGGAGACAAGTCACAAACATGGGTTACAAATGTACAAGGTTGAAGTTAAAAGACAAAAACAACCTTGCCTGCAATAATTATTTGTCGATGACGGCCATATCAAACAAACAGTTCACTTCTACTTCTGGAGATAATAGACTCATTCACAATCCATACAACAATTAACTTCAACTATCCATATTTGCGTAGAAAAAACGACAAGGTTACTTCTCTTTCAACATACGGATTTTCGATGAAGCTGTTGCCTGATGGATCATCGATAATGAAGGTGAAAGCCTGATTACCCGTTGAACATTCCTTCAACTTCACCAAGAACGCGTCTAGAGCTTCTGCCATCTTAGGATCAACCCTCTGGTGAAGAAAAACAAATCAACTGTATTAGAGAAGTTAGTGAAACCGCAACAAAAATTATATAAACCGCTCATCAGGGTCCAGCTCTCACTGAAGTTTCAATCGTAAAATGCACGAAGACAAATAGCCAAGTGTCCACTTACGTAGAATAGTTTTGTTATGTTGAAACATGTTTTCTATATATCATCCTTACAACATACGCAAAAAGAAGATGGAGGAGCATTCGTATGTAATTAAAAATGTGTAATTAGTATTACCCGACGTTCTTCTTGCAATGCAGCTAACTCTTCTGCAGCCCTCATGAGAACTCCCTCGACCTGAAAGTACAACGTACTTAGACATGAATAGAGCTATCCGGTCTACTCCAATAAGCATCCAAATCGTGAGAAGGTACTAATCCACAACTCGACGTTTTGATATCTTGTTGAGAAACTAGTATTGAAGTGGTCAATAAAATGATCAAGTTCAGCCAACACACCGTTGATAAAGTTCCGCGTTGAGCATCAGGAGGTACTTCAAATTCAAGTTCAGGGATCTGAAAAAACCGTCAAACTTACTTTGATTATTCCTGAGAGAGCTCCAGCAACAGATTCTTTGCGATACCAATTTCAGCCTTGAATTAATCAGACGAACGAACTTGGATGGTGTCTGCAAGTATTACATTTAGAATGAAGACTTAGTACGTACCTTGATAGTGCCGGAATCTGACTTGACTACTTGACGATTGAGAACCTGCATGAAGATGCGCCACATGAAAGGATGCGCGAGGTTCAGAATTATAAAAAACATGCTTCATTCATAATTTTCAGAAAGTTTTCTTTTTCAAATGTCTTTGTATCACTATCCACGAAGCAAGTTTGAAAATTTCTTGTTTTGAAAGTATGATGAGCACAACTCTTTGAAATCTATTGGGTTACTGATTTGATCGAGATGTGGAAATGAGATGAAAGGAGCCCTGAGGATAAGTGATAAATTATGAGCAAAACTGCATACCGTCTTGTCTCCCGTGGGAACGTTCAAAGTGTACGTACAGCCTTGCGGGGCAAGCTTTCCAGCAAACTGTATTTCGTTGTTCCTGCACTACAACCCACGAGGGGACTGATGAGAGCAGGAAAATTGGCTTCCATAAAACTGCCCTCAGTTCATATGATTACTCTCACAGGTGTAGATCAACTTATCGTATAGACTAGTCCTTGTGAAGTACATCACATAGATATAGACTTTCACACCAAAAATTCTTCCAAAGATGTTAGATTCAAGTAGAATAATAAACTGATTCCACCGTAACTGCCAGACCAAGTCCTATCGAAACGTCGTCTTGACACTAAAACTTGTACAAGTACATATCGCACACGTACCAATTAATCTCAAATTTCTCACCTTTCACTGCAATGAGGGCACTCAAAAGCCATTAGAACGACCTGCAGGAACAGAAATGAAGAAGAGACCTCAGTGAAAATTGATATAGCAAGTAATCAACCAAGGGGTTACCACGCAAGAGGACTTAGAGGTAGACTCACTAGGTATGACCATAGATCTTCGTAATAAGTCGAATATCGCTATCTGAACTGAACACGCTAATATCAACCTACAGACTACCAGTGGCTATTAATTAAAAAGTACATATAGGAAGTATTATATATAAAAAGTATAAAGGATAATGAAAGGTATCATGGACACCGTGAACGGCACATCGAAACCGTTACAAGAGCTACAAGCTATGAATAATAAACATTTGTTCATATATCACAGATTCAGCATGAAAGAGAGAAGCAAAGTACAAACCTTGACAAGATTAGAATTCCTTACTCTTTGAACACTTAAAACGTCTGACAAGAGCTAGTTCTACTCACTTTCGATACTCAGCTACTTTAATTAGCACCAATCAAACCATCTTGAAGGGAGGCTGGCACTTACCTCCCGAAAGTGAGGAATTTTGGTTAATAAAAATCGAGTCGTCCCCTGTAAATAACACATAATGAATCAGGATCCGAGCCTTAACAGACAAGCACAATCATCAAAGATTTCGCCTTTAACAGGCCCATGGTGACGCGGTTGATTAACGTGAAAGGATGGTGGCAAACGTTTGTTAGAAAAAGCCAAATCCACAATAAAGGTCAGCTCAGTGATATTATTCCATGGAGTTAGGTTCTCACAATCCGGCATCGAATTGCGGGTTAAGCATGGAACCAGATGTCTAAATCCAAACCTAATGTCACACTCACATTCTCTCTGCAGCGCATGCAAAGACTCTCAATTGCGTAGAGTGGCGCATCACTGGAAGTCCCCACAGATTCGGCAGCAGCTCCAACATCTATCATCATCTCCTTCTCTGTCATCCTGCCAGCCTCTGAATCTTGTCTTCACCTGTACATGAACACATACAGTTTATCATAATCACAAGTTCAAAAGATCACTCTTGCAAACCGAATCGAGTCCAAGATCGAAAATTCATCACCGGTTGACATGCTTGGGACGAAAACAGGCCGCAGATCCATGTGATCGCAAAGGAAAAATCTCATCCATCCTACTCCCTCCAGGAACAGTATTGTAACCCAACTACGACAACCTCAACTTGTACCACTCTCAGCGCTCAATTTTCATAAGCACAACAAATCAATTGCCAGACCACCATCCCAACGGAGAAACAGACGAAGCAAAATTTCTCAGACCACGTGACTCACCGCCGGTCACCGCTTTTGATAGTCTCACCGGCAGCTTCAGAAAGACACAGGAAAATTTCCGCAGTATCGAAAGATCACCAATTGCGCACAAAGCTGCCAATTGTCCGTGAAGGCTTGCACTGCTGCCTGGCCTCTCGATGTCGCCCTGGTTTTGTTCGCTTCAGCCATTCCTGTCGTTCTCCTCGATCTCTCAAACCCCTAAACCCCTCTCGGACCTGCCACTCCAGTCCAGCCAAGTTAGATACTCTCTACCCTAACTAGAGGAGAGTTAGAGGAGAGTTTCATGATGTGCTTTAGCGGCCTGATTAACAAAACGCCCCTATGCTACCGAAAATTTAGTATCCAACCATTTGACCTTTTTAGATCATTACTGTAATTTATTTCGGGCGCGGGCGTAGTTCCTCGTCTACAACAGAATTGTGAAAAGTATCAGGTTTCCGGGTAAGGCTGAAGAACTAATCAGCCAGCGCTGAAAATTAGCTATAATTTAAATTTAAGATTAGCTAAAATTGCGCTAAATTCTTGATTATGCTAAGCAGGAAAAATTTTCCGTAGTCATATTCTTTGCATCGGAGGTTTGGTAATTCGTTCAGGTAATAGCAGAACTGAAGTTCTGATGACTTGCGCTCTCGAGATCTGTTCTAGAATCGACTGGAACATTTAATCTCGACGTGAATTCCGGAAGCGTTCGCTTTACCGGCTCGATGATACTTTGGAGCAAAAACTCAATGTCCAGCATTTATGGGACCGAATGGCACCTCAGTTGATACGAGGTGTGTGGATGCTCTGGGCTTCCATCCGGAGGAAGAGTTGAGAGTGATTTGCTCTGTGCATTGAGTTGAGTGATGTCCTCTGCCTGGATTTTGAGAGAGGCGTAGTGTCCAGGGAGATGGGAAGGGATTTTGGTGCGCGAGGAAAGAGGTTTTGGTCGCTCAAGATCGAATTGCTTTCGTCGACGAGGACCTCGCGGTTTCTGACAAGGTGGGAATCTGAAGGCTATGAAACCTGTTTGTGATTGATGTTGATCGGAGGTTGGAAGCAGAAATTGAGGCCTCCTGCTTTTCCGCCGATAGTGTAACACACGAGCAAATCGGGAGTCTGCTTAAGAGCGGAGTGCTGAATCAAAATATCTGGCGATCAAATCAAACCAGAATAGGGCGTTCTCCTCACTGCAGGAGACGCAGAGTACTCAGAAAGTTGGAAGTTTGAGGGTTTTACGAAAGCACGGAGCTGAAGCTGAAGCTGAATTCGGCCGGGAAAGTCGGTGCTGAGCTTCAAGGGATTGATTAAGATCAGTGCAGTGCAATTGGCGAAATGTTTTTTTTCTTCGGAGGGGTGCAGCCGGAGGTGACGAAGATATTAGAGTATAACGCGGCAGTGTGTCCACGATGCGGACAGGATGCCAACCTTGTAGATTACGACCATGTGTTCAGAGCCTTCTTCATCCCCGTTTGGCGCTGGGGCGGGAGCAACCCGGCCGTGTCTTGTGGATCGTGCTCGTTCCTTCTGCCTTTGGAACAATTCCAGAAGCTCCATCACCGAGGCTCTAGGGAAACAAGAAGCAAGATAGCTCAAGATTTCGGCCCCACGGCTCCACTCCCTCCACTCCCTCGTTGCTGGTCGTGCAGTCGGATCCTAGAGCCGGAGTTTCGTTTCTGTCCCCAATGCGGAGCTGGTCAATGAGCCAGCCCCATGAAGTCCAACCTGTTCATAACAGCTTGCGCCATCTGGAACCACCGATGCATGAGCAATTACCGAATCGGATTTCTGGAGATCAGACGCATGTAAGAAGAGTTCCTACTGATTGGCAGTCAGAAGGCCCATCAGTGGGCCTATAAATGCGCAGTCAGTAGCACAGCAAATCTCTGCACAATGTGCAGTCGACAGGACCAGACTCATGTAGTCAATCTCTAGTCGGGTCTGTTCCGATCAATTGATGGTAGCTCAGCTCAATACGCTGTTGCATGGATAATCTGCAGCCTAGAATCGACATGTCATGCGTGCAATCCATGGGTCTGGAGGGAATATAACCAGTTGTCGCCACTATCGTTTCTCAGATCCTGGAAGTCCTCGACGGCGTGGTAATTATGGGACATGCCGTACGTCCTTCTCCTGCTATCATTGTCAGCTCTTGCGTACAGTCTGCTGCGGATCTGAACGGCCCCATTGTATGATTCCACTCCGTAATCGATTATTATTGCCGGTCGACTTCGCCAGCAGTGAAAGCATTCAATCATTCCATCTCACATTGTTTTATGGAGACGTGTTTCTTTCGAGGTGCAGATAACCTGTTTCTATGGGCAGCAGTTGTCAATAAAACAAGTCTCCTGCACCCCTTCTGCATCGGTCTGATCATTACATACTACTTCATTACTGTCACAGTCGATGTCATCAATTGTGCCGGAGAGTATGATGTTCGCGACATTGAGAAAACCATCTTTCTTCACTCCATCCAAGACGGGAAGCATGAGGCAAGGCATGAAATGTCACAATACAATAATGCAGAGCGCACAGATCAAGTAAACACCTTCGGATTGATTTCAATTTTCTCTATATTGTTACAAGAATCAGTGATCATTGCTTTTTCTATAGTATGACACATGGAGAGAACATGATCTCCTATAGTCAAGTCACCTCACAATAACACTCTCTACCGGTGGCACTGCAACAAACTCGAACCAGCAGTCATCGTCCAGATGGGAGGTCCCTCTACCAATGAACTGCACAAGTTGGGCTTACTTGAGGACCCTCTTTGCATTCTCTCGTAACTAGCAATACTGAGAGTGAGAGGGCCATGCTCTCAGCAATGAAGCACATTTGCTGATTCTGGAAGAATTGACACCTAAAGACACTAGTATGGTCAACATTTACTGTTGTGGGTGGCTCTCATTTTGGAGTCACCAAGTTCTGTACATGGATTTCATGGAGTGAGGTTGGGACCTTTTTTCGGAGGGGTCAGCCGGGAAACTTCGAGGATTTGCCCGCCTTCATATGCCTCCGCATCTGGGTTCTGAAGACAGGACAGAGGGCCGCACGCTGGCATCACTGTGCTTCGAAAAATGAATTCAAGACTTGTTTTTAATCCTCGACATGCTCAGAGATTGATATGTAATCTTGTTGGAGACCTCATGGTACTGTAGGTGGTTTTCTTGGCCCCACCACTGTACAAACTCTGACCGGCATCCTCGGAGAGTATGTACATGGGAGGTGATTTGCCGTCATGAGGATTGTCGCCAAGGTCAATCAATACCCATGTCTAATCAAGGGGCCAAGGTGTATGTTGGTCGAGCTTTATGTGATTTGCCGTATGAAGACGTTCATCTATGTCAGTGCCTATGCCTGCTCGAGAGGACAAGGAATATATATGTTTGAGCTTGTTAGTGATTCGCCGAAGTAAGATTCAGTTCATCTAGGTCAATGACCATGCCTGCACGAACAAACGTGAGAATAAATCAGCACATCATCGCACACATTGCATGCAACCATCATCATCCTCTCAATGTAAACTTAACATCATTCACTGACAACCTTGAAACTCAATCAAGAGAAACAAGGTGGTCGAATCATTTGAATTGGACGCTTTGTTGACGGTTTATTGATATAAACCGTCACAAAACTGGTCCTTCTGTGTCTACTAACATGATCTTGTAAGTGACAATTAAATCCCATACATCACATAGAGAGCATAACTTACCCTTATGATTCCATCAACTGAACCGGTGTACAGAGTTTCACTCACAACCGCGAGTGAGAGAATCTTGCTTCCAACAGCAAATGAAGCTACTTTTTGGTACTTCTCCCTTAACCAAACCTACAAATCCAGCGAGCTTGTTACATCAGGCATACTTGCCATTCCATACCATTCGCAGCCATCACTATACAGCTTCTCTTACAGGAAATCGTCATGAATAACATAAGAGGTTTGAAGGTGATGATTACGATACAACGGAGAAACGTGATTCTTCCAATCTCTGATTCCTTGCTGATACTACACGAGAGTCAACGGCTTCGGTTGTAACGTACCTCTACGTTTCCTGTCGGCTGATTGTTAGCTAGATATATCAAATCATCCGATATAGCCATGTATCGCACATCCATTTGAGTCGAGATGAAATGAATCATTGCTCGTGTTGCCAAGCTCCACATCTTTCCAGGTAAGAGAAAAACAGAACAATATCCACTTTTGTCAGCTGACTTAACGTCAAGTAACACTGGATTGTATCAGTGTTACTTGATCACTGGTACAATCCACACGTGAACAAGACTACTGTAAAAAGGAATATTCAAGCAGCAGTGATGTATATTCCTCTGATAACAAATTCACACATGCTCAAAATCTACTAACCTTTGTGGCAATGCCATCTACAAGTGTGCCTGAGGTATATAGCAACCCCTTGCTTGACTGTAAAGAGTAGATGGCCTTTTTGCCTCTCAGGGTGCGTACACCGGATTGAATCGTCGTCGATGTTCCAGATACAGGTTCTACTTCCTGCATATTAAGATTCTAATGTCAGCCTCAAGTGGCAACTTCTACGTATGCAATACAATGAGAAATCTGTCCATGATTCCAAGCAGCAGTCTGATCTTAGCGTCCAACGTAGCTGTCGATCTTGGAAATGCTTCTAATGTACTCCTTCTCATCTTGAACAATCTGCAAGAAATGCTATCATACGAGACAGCTAATCCTTGATAGAAAATTGGTACTGGAGGACTGAAGAAACCTGTATGCTACTATCTGTGCAACCACAGTATATGCGATCTTCGGTCACGGTTATACTCTGGACATGCTTGTGAGCGTTTATAACTCTTGAATTTAGTCCTGACGCATCCAGCACCTAAAACGTCCGAAGAAAGGCACCACGGTCATCAATGATCAGTACATTATCTAGTGAAATATGAAACCAAAATAGAGATGAAAACGTCAGAAGACAGGGAGAAAAAATCATAGAATTGCATAGTCAAAACGAAACTTCATTTTCCAACACTGGGAAAAATTAACACTCACCTTTATACCGACTCCCGAAGGAATTACAACGATGAATGAGGGGCTGACTGCCACAGAGTGTACGGCCTCTTTGATCTCCAAAACCTGAATGCACCTCATCCGCTCTTCTTGCAATGACCACATCTGCGGGTTCCAAACATTTTATGCTTTAATGCGCATTCGCTAGTCAAGCGGAATTTCAAGTTTATTGAGAAATTCAAAATGGACAAAAGTACGAAGAAGATAGTCATACGTCAAAACCAAGTGGATGCAAAGGAACAACTTATTCGCCGAACAGGTAGGAATCTTACTCTAACGGTCTTGTCTGCGGATCCACTGAAAAGTTTGTGGGATTCCTCTAGAACAGCCAAACACAGCACTGCACGCAAATGCTCTCGTGCCTCAAACACCAATCGCGGCGTTCTCCTCTTCACGCTCCAAACCTATTGGTATAAGTCGGGAACGCACAATGGGTTAGTTCAGTACTGTGTTCAAGAAGAAAGTGATGAAGTTGTGTCAGAAATTCGATTTCATACTATCGAACTCTGAACCCAGCAAAAACCAAAGTAAAGGCAAAGCACAACAAAGATGACTTCGCTTGAACTAGACTAACGAATTATTGGACTAAATAATACGCTGTACATAAAGAAATCATATATCCAGGTTTTAGAGATTTCGCACCTTTATTGAAGCATCCGCATGACCGCTATAAAGGTAGCCCCTAAAATACAACAAAGCACGAGTTTCACCGCTTCCTGAAGCGTCTAGACGACCCACCTCTCCGTGTGCCCACATTTCTGCATTCTGTTCCATGGAAACATAGGTGTCAGCTTCATATACACACTGATATGCATAATTATGAACATTCCAAGGCAGGCCTTAATTTCTTGGATTGTGAAATATTCACTCATGAGGAATGTTAAACATAGGAGCCATCGGTACTAAGTCCGTCTACCTCAGAAAGTAAATGACAATCCACGTAAAGTACAGAATGAAAACATACCATATTTGAGAAAGGACTAGTATTCAACGCATCCACTATCCTTCTAGCAGCCCATGTTACTCGCTTTAGTCGTCGCAACGGTGCGAATAAATCTTTGGCAAAAATGGTCAACTGTTGCACTCCAACTATACACAGAAAAGAGTCAGATTTTGAATCAGCCTCAGCTTAAGGGTCCTCAACGAAGCTGACTGGAGATAACTGTGAATACTTTTGGAAGTCCTGTACACGACTTGTGGAAATCAGAAACAATTGCATCAATATGTTATTTTTTCAACGATTCATACCTGAGTCATCAGTCAAATTGTAAAGACTTAGGCAGGCTAGAACTTTCTCTTCAACATCACGTCCCGGTTGCAAGATGGCCACTAACGACGGCAGGAAGCAATTGCGAGCATAAACTTGTAGACCAGACTCAGGCATGCTACGGAGTGCACACGTGAGCCACGCGGCGGTCACAACGCAAAGTCTGGCCATTTTGGACGACTTTGACGGCAGGACAGTACCCAAGGCTTCAATAAGAGGCCTGCCGCTTCCCAAAACTGCAACTGCCATCCTTTTGTCCCAATCGTCTGCAGCTTTCTCTTCTTCGTCCTGAAGAACATTAAAATTGTTGTTTAACACAAGGACGTGACCCGCCTCTTTCTAACATTCTACCGCAGATTCAAGATTCCTTTCTCACCAGCAACTTTCATCCTCTTCGTCTACAACCATATAAGGGAGGTTATATAATGATGACGTTAAATTAAAAGGACATAAACAAGACAGAAGTGTTTCATACCAAAGAGTGATCCATATTAGAATGACCATTTTCAGTCGACTTGGAGTGTGCATCTTCATTCACCCCCGCAAACTTCAAAAGTGACGCTTCTGTCATGGGTTTCCCCGTATTCGAGAATCGACCACTGAGGGATGCAAGCGCTTTGGCAGCCTCAAGTTGTACTTTGCTGTTCTCTTCACAATTGAGGGCTGCTACCAGAGCCTCCAACGCCTCCTCTCTGTACACACTCTGTTTACGAGGCTCTGCCTGTCCAGCAACCGAGCTAGATTCAATTTTGAGGTTTGAGATGCGAGTAGATCAAGTTCAGCAGATCTATACATGCTTTTAAAGTGCGTCCTATGGTAAGTAATATTTACCAGGATGTCCAGCTGTAGAAGGAGACTAGCAACCATAGGACGATGTTCCAAGGGTGACATTTGAAGATGCAGCATAAGAACGTGCATGCTGTTCAGAAATCCTTCTTGAAGAACCTCTTTCAGTATTTTTTCGATTGCGCTTCTCCTGATCAGAAAGGTAGTTCAAAGGGTCAGCAGAATTTGAAGAAACGCTTGAAGAAAATTAAAGAAGCAATTTATTTCTTTCGTAGCTTCGTCTAAAATTGGCGCCGTGTGAAACCTTCCTTCCCCCAGCAAGCGTTTCAACGCTGCAAATTCTTCGCCAATTCTAGAGCCCTCCAGCCTCAAACTCTCTACATGTTCGAAAAGTTTTGCAACTACAAACCTGTTGAGCCGGATGAGCTCTGCCAAGAAGAATATTGCCACAGTCCGAGCCTGCTCCTTGCTATTATGGAGCAAATCCACCAGGGTTGTGATTTTGAGATTCTGAGCCATCATTGACCGGCACCCTCCATCTGATTGCAAGCACGACCACATCACTGCAACGGCACTTATCTTCTCTTCTAAAGTTTTTGCCTCCAGTCTTTCCATCAGATATCGTACGCCGTCAGAACTCACAATCGCCTCAGCATTTGCCATATTCACTCGATGATCTACAGTAGTCACCATTTGCTCCATTATATACACCGCTGCAGCCTTTGGAGACAGGGGCATCAAAAATGTTCCCTCCTCGTAAGATGGGACGTTTTTCAGTACAGCTACAAGTGCAGGTACCAGTTTTAGTACTGCAATCTGCGCTGATGGAACTTTCAGTAGGTGCAGCAAAACTGCTGCCTGAGGTACCCGCGGGTTCTTCAGAACCGTCAAAGTGGACTCGAAGCTAGGATCAACTCTCAGAACTGCTTGCCTTGTGGACTCATCCCTCGATATCAAGTCTGAGAGAAGAAACACGACGGACCTCAGCACGTCATCCTCTTTGGAACTTGAAAGCACTTCCATCAACCCTTCAACAACACCGGCTTTTGACAAGCTTGAGGCAACGGAAGTATCCCCTTTGCTTTCCACCCACGCGAGAGCTGCCACGCGCACAGCCCTCTCACATTGCACTAGATCGTCTGTCTTGAACAAAGTATCGACAGCTCCCCTTAATTCTTTGAGTGTTTCCTCTAGGTTTGCAGCAACCTGATCCACTGGCATAGGAGCGACTTTTTGCCCAAATCGACGACTTGATGGTGGTCGCTGAAATTCGTCATTAACAACGTTTGCATTGTTGGGATAAATGACTGGTGAGCCCTGATAAACTTCGACGTCAAGGGCTTCCACAGAACCCCCTTTTATCGAAGAAGCACGCGAAATATCTTGAAGATATTCAGGATGGTCATCTTTCCAAGTATCAACAACCCTCTTGAGCACGTAGTTCGTGCTTGGAAGCTTGGTGTTCTTCAGTGTTTGCCTAGTGATCGGGCAGGAGGTGTTACCCCGGTCCAGCCACTCCTTGATTGCAGTTCGTTCATAAGTCTGCCCAGTTTCTAGAGTCACAGGGTCTTGAAACAACTGATTCGTAATGGGGCAAACAAAATCCTTCGGCGGTTTTACTATGGACTGCTCTCGAGTGAACACGGTTTGTTTGAACGAAACACTTCTGCATCATGTAAAAACATACATACCATATTGTAAGAATCAAACCCTCGATATATCGGAAATTGATATGAACCTACGGCCTAGAAGAGACGCACGAATGAGGGTCGAAATGTATCTTTTGCACCAGAAGAGTCTGAGAAGTGCCAGGCCTGTATTGTACCTCTGGTGAAAACAGGCTCACTCACCAATTACCAGCAATGAGGACTAGAAACAAGGTTTCACAAAGATACGAAGTGATACAGAAGGTCACAAGGAATAACCTAGACGAGTGTGATGAATGTGAAGAATGCGAAGAATCTGACTTCATCCGACTGAAGCCTTCAGGCTTCTGAGCAATAACAGATCCTTGTCTGCTTAAAACTTCAGTATCGTCGTCCTGTACGAACAAGTTGACAAAGTCCAGTTAAGAACAGACATATTACTGAACTGCGTTTTAGCCTAAAAATACACAAGCAAGGCCATGGGACTGGTGAGCAACGAGGAATACAGAAGGCAAAGTGTTTCAGACGCATACCTCTAAATCAGAGCGCGGACTGGCAGAAAATTTGCTGAGTGGTGAGGAAACAGGCACAGCTGCCTCGAAACTTGTTACAGGTATTGCTGCCTCAAAAGTTGCAACCGCAGGCGGCTGATCTGGGTGCTCCTTCTTCCATGCTTTGGCAGCCTCTGCGATCTCAGCAAGCCTATTATATGTTACTAACCGATCATCCTGATCTGTGAGCCTACTGATGAAATCATTAGCCTCCTCGGGGCTTATGCGGCCTTCAGACAGCTCTTCCCACACTTGTAAAAGTTCGTCCTCTGTTAGTTCCTCTCCATCCAGAAATACACCCGCTCCTCTCTCGAACTCCAAGGTAGAATTGCAGTCATCGTCGTCTTCACTTAACGCAGTGCCGTCCTCCATATCTTGCCTTAATCTTGCTTGTGCTCCATTGCTGGATGCTTCGGCTGTTCCGTCGGCATGACCTCCCTCTTGGTAGGCCTCTTCATCCACTTCCGCGATGGGCTAAAGTCAGCAGACAGGACCACCAGTCAGAATTATGCTTACAAATCAACCTTCATTGCAACCTTTCCTTGAAGACACCCTACATTCGTGGGTTGGAGTTTGGCAGGCCCCTTCACGACCACCAGAGTGATCACAAGACATCTAACCACCCCTAAGCCGCAAGTCATACTTCAAACAGTCAATCTCCAAAACCGTGCAAGGGTGAAATCGGCACCTCGTTAATTGAGCTATTCCGAGAGAATCCGGCAGCATCACTGAAACTGTCATGTTCTCTATCCATGGAAGGATGCCTGTACATTTTCCCGCGATTCCTGTACAAGAAAAAAGAGGTAAGCCAGCGATAAATTCAGCCTAAACTGGTTCAGATCTATCCATCAGTGCGTCTCTCTTAAATCCCCGGCACAGACACTATCATGTTCACTTTGTGGACGAGATCAAATTTCCACGAGTTAGACAAGTAACTCCTCCTTCGGTACTTAGAACCAGGTGTTATCTGTTCGCCACCTTTTGAAAGCATGAACGGTTCCTTCAATGTTCATCATTCCTGAATTATTGGTAATCAAGGTAATTAAGTGCCCGATCCACGTGAAGCGATTGCTTTGCAGCTTCGTTCCATTCTGATAAGAATCACTTAGGACGAGTCAACCCATTCTCATAAGACGCGACAATTTTTAAAATACTTTCGACCGAATCCAGGTAGACCTGCTACCGCAAGTATGAATCGAGCCCTCGCTGTTACAGCTCGAGATTTTAGCTCCTCAGATTGATGGACGGCATAGAGTCCCGATTTGATCTCGGCTAATGATTTGGGAGAAATGACGGCATCATTCCAGTCCGATTATAACGACCAAATCTGCAAGCCTCATGCCAATCATCCGAAACTCAGATGGCAAAATCTGGTGCAGAGACTGCGACCATTTCCAGCCCTTTAGAACAACGTGAAGGCTGACTGACTTACTGGCTGCTTCCGGCGCCGCCCGAACCACTGACAGAAGCACCGTTCGATGTATATGGTCGAGGAGTGAGCTGACTCTGTTGATGCTCCAATTCCCGCGATGAATAAGGTTGAGGAGACGTCATTCCCGCAGACGCAGGAGAGCCTTGCACACTGCCTTGGAAGCTGTTGTCGGCCTCGTACGCCATCCAGTCCTTGTAGTACTGAGCGTACTGCTGCGTATTCTCATCCAAGCTATCCTGATAGAGCTTGTTGAGCAGCTCGAGCCTCATCATCTGATCGGCGGCCAGAGCCGGCTCCCGGGGCCTGCCTTGCCTGCGGGGCGTGAGGGGCTCCCCATTGGCATCGCCTGCCACCGAGGAATTGTCGTGGGCGTCCTCGAATTCAGTCTCCTGCTCGAGAGATCGGGACGAGGTGCGAGAGTGGGAAGCTTCGGAATCGCCCAGCTTGCTGCGCCGCCGGCCGGGAATGTCGAGCTTCCCGTGGGCGCTGAGCGGAGGGGACGAGCTCATAATCTGGGCCAGCTCGCCCTGATACCAGGCCTCGATGTTGACCATGTGAGGCTGGAAGAGCTGCTCCCAGAGCACGGGGGCGAAATCCCTGCGAGCCTGGCCGGGCTCGAGGAGGAACATTTCCAGCAGGTGGAGGGCAGCATTGCGATCGTTGTTGCGGAGCTTCCACACGAGCGCCATGAAGAAGTTGGCCCACGAGGCGAGGTAGGAATTGGGCACCCCGGCAGTGGTGCGCTGCGGGTCGAGCATGACGGCGACCTGCAGCATCCTGTGCGTGTGCTCGAGCCTTGCAGCTCTGGTCTCGGGGTTGCGAGTGCTGACAGCCTTCTCGAGCCCATCAATCCCCCAGTCCAAGTTCGCCAGCACTGCCTGCTCTGCGTACTGCACTGTCACGCCGTGCTCCTGCCTCAACCGCTCGGCGCATTTGTCCCGCAGGTCCCGTCGGCCATTGGCATCCAGCAGCGCGCTCATGGCGTACCCACCCATCACCGACACCATGCTGCGCACGGCCGACGAGTCCAGCCCCGAGATGCTCCCGGCCTCCTCGGCCTCCTCTCTGCTGCTCGTGCTCCTGCTGTTCGTGCTGTTGTTGTTGGCCGACGAATGCCATTGTGGCTGCCCTTGCCCTTGCCCTTGCGCTGCTTCCGATCCACCACCGTGCCCATCTCTCGTGCTATTGTACCGCTCCATTTCTCGACTCAATTCCACTCCTGCTCGTCCTTCCTTCCTTCTTCCTGTTTCTCTGTCTGTCTGTCTATCTATCTGCCTGCCTACCCTCGAGCACCACCTGCCAACCTACCAATCTGCCTATCCGTCCTTCCTTCTGTCCTTCCTTCCTCCCTTGCCTTGTGCTCCTCCTGTCTACTCGTCCTCCGTCTTCTCGAGTACTGTCTGCGCTTTCTATACTCCTACTGCTGCTGCTGCTGCTGCTCTTCCGTGGAGGTACTTTATGTGCCTTACATCTGTCACTGATGCTTCTCCTGCTGCTGCTTGTGGAGCTCGTGCTCGTGCTCGTGCTGCTGCTCGGGCCACAATCCTTTGCTCGTGCCCATTCTCTCCCTACTCGCTCTCTGTCACTCGCTTTCTATTCCGCATCCAACAAAATTACGTCTGCCCGGTGAAGAAGCAGATCCCTCACGCTCCATTTCATGGCTTCACTGCCTCTCCAGAGCCTGCGCACTCCCCTCATTTCGACCTGCTCATCCATCCATTCGGATTCACTACTGCCATTCATTCATTCATTCCCTCGGTTTCACTCCTGTTCACTCTTCGCTTCTTCACGTTCTCAAGTATGTTCGTCGTCGTCGTGGCTTACGAATTTAATTTCCCTGCGGATGCCACATTCATCGAAACGACCGAAGAGAGGAGGGAGCATTATTTCCCCGTGCATCATCATCACCTCCCGCTGCTCCTGCTGCTGCTGCGGCTGGGGCTCCAGACATTCGACGAATTCACTGTCCGATTCAGCCACGCATTCATCGGTCCGGCCAGCCATCCGCTTCCTGGGACTGTCATGTCTGGTCTCGGAAGAGTCCCGGTCCCGAAGGTCGTCGTCACATTGCTGACAGCTTGCGAGTCACATCGACTGGAACTCGCGCATCGCCAAATCCGACGAACTCTCGCGTCTCGAGCAGCAGAGCTCTCGGCCGACCTCCGACTCTGGCAATCGATGGGATCTGTCGCTCTTTAGCGCTCGGTCCGACCCCTGCCTGGCCTGCCGCACAGACGGCCCTCGCTCTCCTCCCCCTCTCGGCACAGTACCTGGGACCTCATAACGGCAGCAGAGACCACCACCCCCGCCCTCGACCGGCTGCAGCCGTCGCCCGGCCACGTGTCTTCGGCCCGGCTCGCTGGTGTCAGTACCGGGTACCGGGGCTCGGGGTCCCGACAACCGATGACCCGCAATTCCGTCGCCGCCCGGGGCCCGCCACTCGCCACCGTTTTCCGCCGGTGCGCGAGCGGCCTTCTGACCTGGTTTTGCCAGTCGTGTTACCTGCCGGTTTGCGCACCGGATATTTAATGCGGTGTACAGTTAGTACGTACCCCCCCCCCCCCCCCCCCCCGCAGCAGCACAGGCGATTATCTCGATCGAGTAAACGCAGGTTATGGCCGGGTCTCTAATCCGAGGCCTAAAACTAGATCAAGGGGCACTAATTAATTCCTGGGGGATTTGACTATGGCACTCCTGCCGCAGCTTTGTGGAGAGTGTCGTTCAAGCTTCTTCGTCCCTTGACTACGCGGTTGAAGGGTTTTCTGCCTCTTCCCGCATTCATGTTACGGCACGGAGGTGAATCCACATTCCTGGCCCTCTCCTTCAGTTGCATCGAAGGAGTTGCCAGAGTTGCAGATCCGATCTTCGCTCTCCTGCAGTTGTTGGACTCTGTACTCTACCGTACCTGCACCTCTCATGAGTGGATGAAATATTTCCATTTCTGCTCATATCTGCAAGTCTCATACATGGTGGTATGAGTTTCAACGCGCAAATAACATAGCAACAAATGAGCGAAGATCCCATCGTACTACTATCTTGACTTATCATGTACATGTAATAGACAAGATGCTAGTATGACCCTAAGCTAAGCCCCAATAACAGAAGAATATGACTTATCATGTACATGTAATAGACAAGATGCTAGCATGACCCTAAGCCTAAGCCCCAATACCATAAGAATGTCAATTGTATGATATCTTATTTTAAATTAAGGTATCATAAGCAGCAAAAATAATATGCAATCCATTGAAATATTTTCAAAATTAGAAACTATGGTTTTATATTTTATAAATCACCAATGGGAGGATCAACCCCCAATTTATATATTGCACTAATTAATAATCTTTAGAAAGGAAAAGAATGAATTTTTAACTAAAAAAAGATCATTTCATTAAAAAGTTTAATATTTTTTTACTAAAACTCAAGCATTTTCTTATAAACATGCTCGAATATGCGTTTAAGTAGCTCTATAAGTAGAGGACTAAAAATGTGATACCTCTGTTTTTCCTCATATTTGATGATTGTGGGTTTTTTTCCCCACTTATAGCTTTTACAACCAAAATTTACATACCTCGGAGATCCTTACTTGTGCAATTCCATTGCCGCTCATCTGATGATATAAATCAGTTCTCCAAAACCTTATTACACATGGAATTTCTATGATACTTTGGTGTTCTGAAACGAAGTGTAGATCTTTCACCAATAAATTTAAACGCAAATCATACCAACACTCCTTCTATAAGACTTAACTCAGTTTTATGTCATTTCATGAAAAGAGTAAAACATGTTAATAAGATCTCTATCATTTGATCCAATCTACTTTCTGGAAATAAAGTTACGAGTACAACATCTTGAAAAATTATAACACGTTAATTCCTTCCCTTTATATAAAAGACTGCTTCGTTGAAATGCTTAATTTTAAAAGACATAAAAGCCTATGATCGAAATTAGTTTTTTAGTCATCTATTTAGAGAAATTTTAATAAAAATTTAATTTCTTTCCAAAATTCTCTAGTTGATGATTTTCTTTACTTATGGTGCCAATACACTCCATTATTACATCCTTCATCAATTTTTTGTCCAAAAAGATTATCATTAAAAAAGCTTATCAAGTAACTACTTCATCACCGTGTTGTAGAGGTATTTAGTAGATGGGATCTCATTGTAACCTAAACTACTTGATGAGAACCATCAAATTTCGTTTTACTTGATAGGATCCCACCGACGTCACACCGTCGCAAACTTCTACAAGGTGTTCCTATACAACAAAGCTTTCATCATATGCGGACTTTAGTGCACTTTTGCAATCACAAATCTTAGAAGTATGAATTGTGATAGACATTGTTACAAGCCACACAAAGATTTTAAGTTTTGGGCTGTCACAAATTCGACTCGATGATCAACATGAGACGTGTGGAATCTGTGGAGGAAATTCAAAAAGAGTGAAAGGGAGAACTTGTGAATTCGAGTGTCAAGTAATTTTACAAATTTTGGTGCAATGGGGAAGTATCGGACTAAGAAAGTTCCGAGTCGGGGAGATTTGAGCGATTCAATGATAGACGATGAGGAAAGTCTCACAGTCACAATTCCAGTACCTGCACCGTCTGTTGATACTAAAACATGTGTGATATGTACATTCGGTAGGATCCCATAAGGTAAAACGAAACTTAAAGGGTTCCAATAAGCAGTTTAGGTTTCAATTGAGTTCGATCAAGTAAATACCTCTCATATTGTACAACCTTCACTTTGCAATGATATTCATTTGATAGTTTGATTTTTTTTCCATTTTTCTTTAAAGCTAATTCAAAGTTTGTACCCATTGACTTGAAGATATCTTATTGTTTGTTCATACATCAACAATTGTAACTATAGCAAAATGATATTTGATATTTTTGCAATCAAAATTTTTTTTCAGAAATCATTTGATTCACATCATCATTATGTTTTTCTGAATTTTTAGTTTTCATCAAATAAATAAAAAATTTCCTATAAAATATCATAAGTTTTTTCAGATCTATTTCATAAACTTTTTTTATATGAAAATTTAAAAAAATTTGAGTTTTATTCAATATAATGATCAAGATAATTTCTATATTAATATTCTTTGAAATTTAAAATGTCATAAAATAAATTATTATTATTATTTATCACACATTAATTTTTTTCATACAATGTTTTAAATTTATCATTCATCTTAAGTTCTCAATTTTTCACATAAATTATTTATTTACTACATCAATTTTATAGATATTTTTTCTTATATATTTCTTATAAGAAATATATAAGAATATTTCTTAAGGAATATATAAGAAATATAATATTTCTAAATATGCACACATGGTTTTTCATTTTATTTGTAGATTATTTAGAGCTTTTTGTTGAAGAAATCAAATTTTGTTATAAATAGATCAAATCAAACATTGACTTGACAACACACAATTTATTGTACTACATCATGCAATTACTAACCAAGTACAAGCAATCTCAGTCTACACGTTACAAACAAAGCAAAAAAAATCTTCAAGTTGATTATGGATGCTAGATAGTAAATATTGAGTAATTCAATTTTTGATTCTAACATTTAAAAACTTCACTAGCCTCAATATGTTAGCAATAATTTCTTATTTAAGTGTTTTCATTTTTCAAAATATATATCTTAGCAAAGATTTTCAATTTTTCTATCATATTTTTACTTATAGATTATAATTGATTTAAATTCACAAATTTCATTATAAAATTGAGGTGTAGATATTTTAACTTTTGAGATGATTATAGCTAAAAATTTATATTGTTATAAAATATTCTTAGATTAAAATGAAAATTTCTTCAACAACAAAGCTTCACAATATAGTTCTTACATTATGTACATTATAATTTTTAAATTATATATATAATTATTTTATGTTTAAATATTAATTTTTTAATATATGTAAACAATAAATATATATGAAAATATGTAAACAAGTATATTTAATTAGTATAAATTAATTTAGAAATAAGAAGTAATTTATATATTAATATCATTGCTTTATTTCTGAATTAAAAAACCTTGTTATTAAAATTATTTCATGCATTGTTATAACTTTAATTTTTATGTAAAAAATTGAATTTTTGAAAATATGATATATATTTGGATTTGAATTTGATATAAATATTAAATTTATTGCAGCCAAGCTTCATATGAAGAGGAAAAAAAAAGTGTTGAGTAATTTAGTGTCATCTGTTGAACATCAGGATTTTTCATGAATAATCTTGTGAGGTAAAATATAACATTTCATTTAGTGATTTCAAGAAGTGATATTTGTGAGCAAGTCAAACCCAACAGCATACGTTTACTTAAACATCTATCTCTTCTATCTATGATTAATCTTTTATCTCATGCAAAACCACAACTTTCAACATCCCACCTCAGGAAAAAAAATATTGAATATGAAAAACGTAAAATATATAATTGCAATTTTTTTTTAATTTTTATCTTTGTAGTTTCTGGTGAAAAAAATTGGTGACTGGAATTTTGAAAACCAGAAGATCATTCCAACCTATATGTTGGATTTGAGGAACATTAATTAACACTCTATAGAAATAACAAGTTATTTAAAGATTTGTCTATACAATTCTCCATAGTTTGTACTGTTTGCACGAGTGGAAATTAAAATTGAACAACGATTCCTCAATTCCAATTTTGAGTAAAGTATGAGCTCAAAATTTTCGGAAATCTACTCATGGAGTCCAAAGTTACTCCACCTTTCCACATCAACTTTAAGTTGGCGTGAACTTCGCGAAAAGGTACTATGTGGTATAAGTGCATGTGAGTTCATTACCCCTTCAAACAATAGAGTTTGTAAATTTGGTTCTGCTATCATGATTGAACTTTATATACTCTGCAGTTGCAATTATCTGGTATATTGTTACATCAACTACTTTCATAGTCTAACGGAGTTGTGCAAATCCGATCATTGTGGCCTTTCCCTCCCTACTGTGTTCGAAATGGGAGTAGTAAGAAATCGAGATATTCCATATTGTGTCTTTGACTTCACTCGAGTATGGAATCTATAATATACTTTAAAACACACTCGAAAATTGCTAAAGATTTCACTTTCTCAAAATTTTGCATGTCATTTTAAATTCCTCCAAAACTCCACATGAGCAGAAAATTTGATATCTTTCGTCATCATTTATCTAGAATAATCCTGTAGCAGTAAGTTTCATCGGAGTAGGAAGGGTATTGATCTGT